TTCAATTGCATCCCACTTAAGCTAAAACGTTAGCAACATCGTCGCCGTATAATTTAGTCCCGTCTCGACCAGTTTTGTTGCCCAAGAGGTTGATACCACACCGAATTCACCGCACCGAATTCCCACCGCTTTCAACGAATAGATCACCCTTTTCTCATACTTGGTTAACTTCTTGTGCCGTGCCGTGGCCAGAAATTTGGCCGACTTTTCAATCACATTTACCGTTTCTGGTAACAATATTAGTGGAAAGAAGTACGTAACTATATTTACAAAGGGAATAAATGGATAAATCAGGTTTGAAATACGTCCATAGAATCGAATCGTTCCATAATTGAGCAGAATGATTAAACCCGTTCCGAAAAGGATTATGGGTGGCATAGAATTTGAGCAGAATTCTGAATTTAAAAATTGATTAAATAGTCCAAGTTGGTAATACATTCTGGACGCCAGTAACAGATTCCCGCCAATTTTTATGTGTTCATTTAAACCCAGTGCCGCCCTGGTGGAGCAAGCTAGCATAATTTTACCAAGGATTAGAAACGTGGCAACGGATTTTGTAATCTCTATCATGACCAGAACGAGGGCTACATATCTTACGAAACAGTATCCAAATGAACGGAGTGCCAATTTTGGAAATAAATAGTCCGATAAAGCATCCAAATTTGGCAAAACGATGAAAAGTGGGGCTATCATTGCCAAGCAGAATGATTCCGTTATCAAAAGTTTTAAGAAGAGTTCAGTCCTTCGCGATGTCATTTTGGTCGTTACGATGCGAAGATCTGTTTGAGCAAAAAAAAAATAGTTATTTTTTTAAAACTGACTTTAATGCCTATGCGTGTAAGTAACTGCGAAAGATGAAGACAAAACTTTTGACAGTTGCGTGACATTTAAAGTTAATGTAAATGTCACGCTACAAAAGAAAATTTTACTTTTAATTTTAAACCACCCTGTACACAGGCAGGGTACGGAGAACCCCGGGGTTTTATCTGGGTTTAGCGAGTAGTCAGGGTTTTGGGGGCGAACTGAATCAGTGTCTCATGTATTAAGTTCAGAAATTAATGAAAAAAATCAGTTTTTCAGTAATTTCGCAACAAAACTGCTTATGTATTAATTATATTTTAACAAGTAATTAATTTGTTGAATTGCTAGTAATGCCCTGTTATCATATTTTGTAAAATTTGAATACCCCGACTACCCCGACTACCGGTGGGTATTGCTCAAATTTGCTACCCCAAAACCCACCAAAACCCGCAATACCCCAAAAACCCGGGGTAGCATACCCCGTACATAGGTATGTATTATCCAGACAAACATTATGCATGTGTTAGTGTACGATAATCGTATCAATTTTAATTCTTACGGTTTGGACGATTTGTTTATAGAGATGAGAAATCTTCGTTTTAGGCTTAAGATCCCAAGACGGATTGTAATTTCCGCTTAAATACATACTATATTGAAATACCCGTGGATATGTATATTTTACCTGAAAATTTCCGATCCAAGACCAGCGCGGTGTTCAATATTGTGCCAGCAACGGCCTCATTAAATGCCAACGTCCAACTTATTCCAGTAATGGCAAGGATGAAAAACAGGATCCCCACACGTATAAAGATTTGTAAGATGCTGACACCTTTTATAGTGGAGGAGAAGAACGCCTTCACTAATTGATGGGTTGATATCACGGCGTAAATCCACATCCAAACGGGAGACGCCTTCATTAGGAAGTTTGACTTGGTGGAAAGCCGTGAAAGTGAGATTTTCTTATCAGACCGTGCTACGTAGAATGGAATAACGGTTACGAAGCCGTATTGCGATTTAAATTGGTCAAGGACATCCCACATTCCGCGAGAAACGAGGTTTCCGCTAATTTCGGGAAATTTTAAAACGTTATTTTTCTTTCTGTTTGACATTCTGAACTTTTACGTATAGCAACGTATAACAGGGTTAAACGTTTAACGTATAACAGGGTAAATCTGGCTTCCTTTGCACATACAATTTTGTTTATATAAATAATGTGCACACTCTTAGAAATCTGGTGTAATCAGACAAGTTTTGATTTTGCGGTATTAAGGTTGCTACCGCTTGGTATTATAACTATTCATATATATGTAGGTCGATAATAACTTGCGACCGAGACGGCGAGTGTGTTATGGCCAGCCATTCCTAGATGGTACATGCTTATCAGTTCCAAGCTGGTAGGGTCATACGTATACGTGCAATCAAAACGAAAATTTGTTAAATCAACACCGCCGGTGTCAATAAATACATGACTTAACCGCCTTGGTTACAATTGTGATTTCGAGTGGTAATGAAATTTTTCCGTCCGGTCATAGCATTAAAACTACCGGTATCAAAATCATCATAACTCGGAATCAACATTTTAACCAAGGCGGTTAAGTCATATATTGACACCGGCGGTGTTGATGTAACAAATTTTTCGTTTGAGTGTATATGTATATGTATATACCGCTTGGTTGGTATTATTTTAAAACAAGATTTCCAAGAGTGCAAGTTTGATATAGTTTTTATGTCGGCCTGTTTTTGGTGGAAATTTAAAATAATTTATCGAATTAAAATTATGTACATATGCATTATAAGCTATTATGCACCTACATATATGTAGATTTATCAAATACATATGTATGTACATGTAGTTAAATGCATGCATACATAGATATCTACATAAATAATTGCACTCGTTTATGCACTTAAATATGTGAAAATTCTGAACATATTCAAAAACCCGGTTTTTCGATGAAGGATAATTATATGTATTAGTTAGCTGCATGCGAAATGCATGCATGTTAATTTAAAACTCAATACTGCAAGCTGTACTTAACATTTGGTGAATACGCTTACATACATACATACAAAAATACCTACGATTATCTTTGCCATATATATTATTCTACCGATTATTAAAAATTCCACAATTAAAAATGGAACAACTACAAATATATGTACAAATACATATGTATGTATGTACGAAAGGGAAACGGGAGAACTGAAATTATTTCATGCCAGTTAGAGAATTGAAAAAAGTTTATTAGTCTTAGTTTAATTTTTTTTCAAAAGTCAGTTATTTCGATTCCTAATTGAAGATTTTCATTCACACTCAGTCATTTTCGTTCAAATTTGGTTCATTTCATAATTTCATGTCATCCGACCTCATTTCTTACTCGAGTCCTCTCCAGTCGCTTAAATTAAACTCACATCCACTTATTACGGTGCATTTTTCAATTTTTGTAATTAAGTGAGAAATTCAAAAATTTATGAACAATAATCCACAATATATTTTTTTAATTATACACATATCTATAACGTAATGAGATGGATTTCGTGCACCACAGAAAACGGACCTTGTCTTAACGATGTTCATTCAAATCGCATACTGAATTCAGCCCCTGTCACGGGAAAATCGGACATGTTGCTTTGAGAACAAAGTATTGAACTCGCGTTATCTAATTATTAATACAGTATCTATTTTATAAAGTAACACTTTTCTTCAATTCATATCTAGCCTGATATCGAGCCAATTGTCACCTAAATCAATTTTTAGATCAACTCAGCACACTCTCTGACAGTTTTACATAACGAAGCTGAACACAAAATCAAACATTTGAATATATGTAAATCCAAATATACATGTTGTCTTAGCTTAAAATTCAAATTAGCGTATACGTATTTCAACAAATTATGCAAAAATGTTTGCAATTCCACCGAATTAATTATGCAAACCATCAGTTTATTCAATAGTTGTACGAGCACACGCCAGTTAACGCTGTAACTCTGCAGACTTTGGTAACATCAGCGCACGAAATTTGGTCGGACGTGCAACTCTCGCAGTTTGGTCGTTTACATGGAATCGACGCGGTAAATGTACCGGATGAAAAACAATCCGGGATTCCTCCACTCGACACCGAGCAAAAGTATTTGTCCGGGCACATTCTGGAGCAGCATGCAGCCTCACTGCAAGTCGGACATGGCGCTAAAAGAGAAGAATCACAGGGGAAAAATTAGTGCAAAAATGTTAAACTTAAAAAATTAAAGGAAGAAATTAAAAATTACACTCTAAAAAATAATGCTGGCGTTTAGAAAAGTAGATGCACCCTGAATTCTTTGTTAACTATGCTCAATCCAGAATAAACTTGACCAAGTGTAAAGTTTGCTTTAGATGTAGTGTGTTTAAATATAGAATTCGTAGTGCATCTGTTTTTAAAAAGGGCAACATTATTTGTAAATAGTAAGAGTGTACATACTCTGGGCAAGCAATGACGTCGCTAAGAGAACCGTGAAGAAGACAGTAATTAATTTTGAATCCATTTTTTTATACGGAGCAAAAACTTCCAAAAATTTCCCCAATTATTTGAGTAGTCGTGTAGCACAAGTGCAAAGTTACGCAGAGCAAGGTCACCCTTTTATGCAAATCAATGTACATACATACATATGTAAACGATGAATATAACTTGATTTGTGCGAATTGAATGAGTATGAAAAAAGCTGGTTAAACAAAGATTGCAAATTTTAGATCGATTGTAAGGCGTGGCACGATTACCGAGAAATCCTTAATGGAAAAAAACACGCCATATTTTCACACTTATATAAACCCTACTGAAATCTCTTTTTAGTTGTAACGTTTTATTAAACATTTTGTATAGTCGGTTACAACACAAAAATGGTGAATATTTGTTTATTTTCATACACATACAAATACCGAAGGAGCAGAACGGTTATTATTATTATATAAATACTTATGTGTGTGCACACATATTTACATATTTGCAAAGGTTAATTTCATTATTAAATTTATCCAACATGTCCGATAGATAAACTCGATAATAAAAATATGGTGCTGTGGTGGGTACGTGACTGCAACAATGAACCCAATTTATATTTACCTTCGTGCTTGTTCTGGGCAAAATACCATATTTTTTTACGTAACGATCAGTTTAAAAGGAGACTATGGGTGGAGGCCACGTCTACATTCCATTGCTAAGCATGAACACAAAAGTCGGCACCATGGCGAAAATGCATGTTTTTGTAAGTTGCGAGTATTTACAAATTTGTCTTTATTTATTTTTACTAATTATGTAAATACGTTGAGGATTTCTGAAAAAAAATCAAAACTTGGTCACTCTTTCCTTAATGATAACGCACATGAAAATGCACAATGAAAACGTGCCCAATGAAATCGAAAGCCAACCTGCAACTTATTTTTGAGCAAGATAATTTAACTTTGTTAATTGACAAAGAACGTCAAAATTGCCAAAAAAAGTAACTTTTTCTTTTGAATTTCTAGTTTGTCGTACTGAGCACCTGTTTTGTTGGGTTTTCCGTCGCAGAAATTTTACAATTTAGGAACACCTCGTCAAGTAAGTGCTGTCTTGAACATTTTCAAATTTAAACAGCTTCTCTCTGACATTTGCAAAGCTATCAAAATGGTAAAGATGTTTATAGGTTTACATAATTTTTACGAAAGAAAATCACATTTTTTAGAATTTACTTCAGAAATTTGGTTAATGGACTGTTTAACTTTGAGGATTTATGTTTCCCCGGGTTAGCGACATCTGAATGAACTGTGTCCATGTGATTTCAGGTTGCCAATTTTTCGTAGTATCAAATAAATAATTTGAATTTTTAGCAGGACAAGAATGGTACACGCGCAGCAGGCCAGCCACGCGTCAGGTGGCAAGCTGCCCAGGCGGACATTGTCACTCGAGAAATTGCTGCTCCTTCTACTGCCTCGTGGGTGAATCGTGCTTGATGATAACAGGCAAACCATTCTGCGTTGATGTAGCTGGACAACCCTATGATGCTCCCCATTGCGTCGAAACGCGTTGTCTTGATTGCCCCATTTCGTCCGGATTGTACTGTTCGACCACCATGTGCGCAGATCTTGAGGCATATCCCTCCATGGTGATGTGTGACTTTAGCAGTATTCGCGGTCCCGTCCGATCTTAGGGGTGATCCAGGTTTTTAGGTTTAAAAGTGCTTGTCAAATGTAAGAGTCAACTCAACATCTCTAAATTAAATAAATGCCAATTATCTTAAATTGTTGTAATTCATTTCTTAATTTGTTTAAGCTTTTAAACAAAAGTTATGCTGAAAGTTTGATTTGGATTAAAAAATATATGAAGATAGGGCATTTAGAAATTACGCTTTAAAAATGTGGTAAAGTCACATATGTATGTGTAAACTCCGTACTGGTATTGATTTGGTAATAACTGTGCCTATTTTCGGCGATATGGAGTTTCCATGTTGAAGAAACTCTATGTCTCTCGCGAATGCGTTAGAACATGCAAATGAGGTGACCGGCTATAGAAATTCGACCGTAAATACTCTCGACCCTATTCAGCTTCCAAACTGACTTTGGAATAGCATAAATCCAGACTTTCTCCATCAATATGTGGCATATCGAAGGGACTCGGCACTTTCGCGCTTGCATAACATTCATTAAACTAAACTCGCTAGGATCCACATATTTCCTAGAGTGGGACAGCAAAGATGGAAAGGCCATCCCAATAAAATCGTCATCCCGGCAATATCGGGCCTTTCAATCGTTCACCTTAATCTCCACGTTGATTACGCAACCCATATTTTTCATCCGGTGTTATCAAATCGCCAAATCGCCACCTGGGTCAGTCACCTTGATTTCTTACTACGTTAACATAATTGGCACAATTGTCACGTTAGCTGTTCTCCCATTGCTGTGGTTTTTCTCGAAGAAGTCAAATCTGCAGAAATTTGTGACATGCTTCCACGCAGTGCGTAACTTGGATAAGCGCTTTTACGGTAAGTTAGTTTTATCAGCATTGCTAGTTTTACAGTTTATTAATCCAGCCTGCGAGATAAATTTGCTTTTCGCACTGCCAAATTTCTACAAATTATGTCGGAACTTAAATATTTACTTTTATCGGAATATGTACTTATAATTATGCCAGGACTGGGCATTCAGACATTTATCACATTTAGTTTTACTAAATAAATTTCTTTCTAACGGACATTCTTCCCCAGCCTGTCGTGCCCAAGTGTAAAAACCTTTTCAGAAATTTAAATACAATAACAAATCTGGCGAATCTGACCACCTTCCTAGGCTGCTGCTATTCACCAGCGATCGTAACCTGGATCACCGATAACGCCCCCCTCTACGGATTTGCCTTACACGTCCTGAACGTCACGAGTTTAAATTTCATATTTCGCGTAGTAATTGCGACCTTTGCCAGTATAACTTTTAACATATTCGCGTCTGTAATATATCTTTCCGCCTTATTAGAAGCCAGTGGGCAGTGGGATAGTGGTTCTGAATGTTTGGACCAAAATTCTATTGAAGACGGACTATCCTTTCGACAAAACGATCCAAATTTATAATCAGCTAAAAGTGATGACCATACTGATGCAAGAAATAGGGCACGATTTAGTCTCAGCGTGTCTCCACCACGCCTATACCGTGATAATCTCAACCAACGCGATGTATCACTTCGTACTGCAGTTTACTCCTGGTAAAAAAATGTCCATCATGGTCACCTACAGCGCGCTTGTCATACTATTTACTTCGACAGGGATTGAAATGCTGGCAATTTGTATCGTTGCGAAGGCTTCGTCCATGTCAAGGGAGATCTTAAGGAATTTGTTAAGGAATAAACCGTAGTAACGTTAGAAGTAGCTCACCCTGCAATGACTTGATATAATTTTGCACCATAGGTGCAGAATAAGCGACAAAATAAGTACATACATACGTATACTACAATTTTGCACAATTGGTGCAGAGTAATCAATGAAATTAGGTATATTGTAGTGGTATAATTTTGCATCAATAATGTAGGATAACGCGAAAAAATAAATGTTTACTTTTGACGAAATTTAGACTTTTGGTACGCCCCAATTAAATCGTGATGTCAAATTTTTTGTAATTATTTCTTCCAGTTATTCTTCACTGTTGGTGCACTTTGCATCGATTCTCTCAAGTGTTCCGCATCATTTTGGACAACCGATTGTTCGATACTAACGGTGCTAAATATTCCAAAATTGTAGTCCTTCATCGATCAATTTTCCCAACTAATTTGTACCATCTGCATACTGATTGATCAAATTGTATAATTATTTCTTCCAGTTATTCTGCACATTTGGTGCATTTTGCATAAAGATTTAGATTAAGCCATTTATTTCGCATCATTTTTGATAACCGACTATTCGACCCCAAAGGTGCTAGTAATTCGAAAGTTGTAGTCTTTTCACTATCGATTTTCTGAATTGATACGATATATATGCCGTTTATGGTGCAAAAGATTCGGCCCGCCATTGCACCATTAGTGCAGAATTAGCGACCATTCGGGTTATATAATTTTGAAAACTTTCTCAAAATTGTATGATCATTTCTCCCGGATATTCTGTACTATTGGTGCGTTTTGCATCCCATCCCCCAATTATTTCGCATCATTTTGTGTTACCGATTATTAGATATCAACTGTGCTATTTATTTACTAAAAAAATTCGATCCAGTTTGTTCAATACCAATGGTGCGCCTAACATAATCAATAATTGTGAAGGGGATTTATAATTAGCATCAATTCATGCAAAAAACTCGTTAACAGACAGACAGACAGACGGACGGACAAGAGGAATTCAATAGCTCCCGTGCTACACAGGGTGAGCTAATAATGGACAAGATAAATATCGACGAAGGGTTGTACGATCAATCCTGCCAAATTCGATAAGCTTCGAATTTCTGGATTCAGTAGACTCGATTCGAAACGGGATTGGGATGGATTGCTTTGTTAGATATTTGGAAAGAGTGCAATCTCATACGGTTACTTGGTTGCTAGCGACGAAACATAATTCATAGTTTTTAACTTTTGTTCGAAAAATTGTATTACTTCAATATATAATGGAGACTATTGAATATATATTAATTTATGTGCAGTGTGTCTCGAATTGTATTCAAGCACACAATATTTACATATTGCATTGGCTAGGGGTTGCCTATTGCGTCTAGTATAATATATGTATGTAGTTTTTTTATTTAAGTAAATATGCATGTAACACATACGCTAATATCGAAAGCTAAACAACGAGGTACATTATTTATCTCTTTTATGGTGCAATATAAACAACACTTCTGAATATAAAACTTACTCTCAATTTTGCATAGTTTATTCAAATTAGAATTCAGAGTACAATTAGTTTTAAATCGGGTAACATTATTTTTATGAACCAATGAGTTTAACCTAACCTGAATGTTCAATTTGGTATGGACAAGCATCGAAAAATGCAGATTGAATGATAATAATGAGGAAATTTAACATTAGATTATTTAGATCAAGGCGCGACAAGATTGATGAGAAATATCGTTCATGAAAATTAAAAACAAAACACGCAAATATTTACAGGCCTTGATCCATCTGAATTGTTATATATGTGGTTTTGAACGCGAAGCTATATACATATTTCATGCACTAGATTTGCATGCAAAGCAAATAACGAACATTTGTTTAATTTGTACATTAATTTGGAAAGGGTAAAACTTGTCAACTTTAATTGGGAATGGTGTGCTTTGGAAATTTCATGTTAATAAATATGTACATGTGCATATATCTATGTACCAGATTGCTAAATGTAACAATGCAACCACTTTTGATTTCCCACCAATATTTTACCCAGATCCGTCTCATACAACAAATAATTTCGTAACACCTCCATTAAACCTTACTCGAGCTAACTAGAAAGTGAGCAGCAAAGTTGCCGTATAATTAAGTCCAGCCTCCATCAATTTCGTCGCCCAAGAGGCCGACACCACACAAAATCCACCGCACCTAATTCCCACCGGTTTGAACGAATAAATCACCCTTTTCTCATACTTCGTTACCACTTTGTGCCGTGCCGTGGCCAGATATTCGACCGACTTTTCATTCACATTTGCCGTCTCAGGTAACAACGTGAGGAATATGGAACTATATTTACAAAGGGAATAAACGGGTAAATCAGATTTGAAATAGCACCATAGAACCGAATCGTTCCAAAGTTCAGTAAAATAATCAACCCCGACCCAAAAAAGATCACTGGTGGCATAGAATTTGATAAGAATTCCTGATTTAGAAATTGATTAAACAATTCAAGCTGGTGATACATTTTCGACGCCAGTAGCGTATTCTCTTCAATTTTTATGCGTTCAGTTAAGCTCATGGCGACCCAGGTTGAACAAGATAGCATTATTTTACCCAGGATTAAAAGGGCGTGGTTGGACTGAGGTTACTTTTTCATGTCGTTTGCTACAGTTTATTCTAAACTCACCCGGGAAGAAGGAAGGTAAAATTGACTGATTGGGCAGCAATTGGAAATGATGTTGAGAAAGTGGTGAACAATTTCAGAATGGAAAAGTTACCATGACAAAGATACACTCTTAAAAATATTAAAAATATTAGAAAGTCCAAAAAAATTATCCATGAAGTTTTCATTTTGGCCTCTCATTTTGAAATGGGAAAAAAATTCTGACCTTTGACCGCGCGGTGACCTTAAAAATCGGCGACGAGGGATTATTCGCCAATTAGTTTATACAACTGCGTACAAAGTTTCGAAGCTCTAAGTGCCCTGGATCATATCGCAATTTAAAAAAACGCAAAGGTTCGCTTAATCTTTTTGCTAACTGTATGTGTCCAAATTTATTTTGAGTTTTATTTTATAATTCAAATTTATCGCATGTGTATTTATTTCATCTCTCAAATTAATGCAAAAATGCATGTGTGTCATCAATTTCGTCGAATCAATTATACGAAAACCAGTCTATTCAATAGTTGAACGAGCATATGCCGGCGAACCCAGTGACTCGGCAAACTTGCGCCACATTAGCGCATGAAATTTGGTCGAACGTGCAAGTCTCGCAGTTTGGTCGTTTACAGACTGTCGACCCAGTGAACCCATTGGAAACTGGGTCGAAACATTGTGGGGCACCGCCACCCGTGACGGAGCAAAAGTATTGGTTTGGACACATTCTAGAGCAGCAGGCGGCTTCGCTACAGGTCGGACATGGCGCTAGAAAAGGAATGAATTACAGGTGCAAAATTAATGGAAAAATGTTCAGTTGAAACATTTAAAGTCACGATTGAATGCCACACTCTAAAAAATAAGGTTGCCTTTTCGAAAGGTATGATATGAATTATGAAATATAAAATCTATAATGAATTACTTATATTACTAAATCCAGGGTAACGCTAGCTTGATAACATGTAGAAATTTCTCTAGATTTAGTACATATAGCTTACTTACAATGGGGACGCAAACCATGTTCAACCCGGAGTGTTTTTTTTACTATGTATGTTAGTTCGAAAAACTAGCTCTAAACATATGTAGAAACAACAGTTAGCGCGGCACTTGCGAAAAATTCTGCAAGGTTTTGTCACCCCAAATTCGCGAAACGTGCAATTGCTTAAACAAAGACAGATTCCGCTGAAATACCGAGCGACTTCGCGAACTTGCAGTTCTTAAAACGCGCTTAATTTTTCATATTTTCGCAAGAACCAAAACTAAATGTTGTTTCTCAAGAATTAGTCTTCCAAACAAAAATGGTAAAATAATAACCTGGGCTGAACATGGTTTGCATCTTCAATATTAATATAGGATTTAGGTGCGTCTACTTTTCAATAGAGTAACAATATTTTTAAGAGTGTATGTACATACTCTGGGCAAGCAATGACGTCGCTAAGATAAGCTTGAAGAAGACAGGTAGGAATTTTGAATCCATTTGTGTACGGTGAAAAAGTTTCGACAATTATTTGAGGTTATTTGTATGTAGTTGACGGAGAACGGGGGAAAAACAAGTGCAAAGTTACGCGGGGCAAGGTCACTCTTTTACAAATCACTGTACATCACTGTACATGCATAGGTATGTATGTACATAAAGGATGAATATAACTTGATTTGTAGAAATGGAAAAAGCTGATTAAACAAAAATTGGACATTTATAATGAAACGATTGTAAGGCGTGGCACGATTACCAAGAAATCCTTAATGGAAAAAACACGCCATACATATTTGCACACTTACATAAACCCTATTGAAATCTCTTTTTAGTTGTAACATCAAACTAAACATTTTGTACATATGGTCGATTACCACACAGAAGAAAAGTGAATATTTGTTTACTTTCGCATACATAACACATCAACCGTTCTAATTGAGAATAAAGAAGGAGTATAAAGGTTACTGTTATAATATCTTTACATATTTGAAAAGTTAATATTTAATTATCAAAGGTATTCAACATGTCCGACTAAACTCGATAATAAAAATATGGTGCTGTGGTGGGTACGTGACTCCAACAATGAACCCAATTTATATTTACCTTCGTGCTTGTTCTGGGCAAAATGCCATATTTTTACCGTAACGATATGGTAAAAAACCATTTAAAAGGAGACTATGGGTGGAGGTCACGTCTGCAAAACGCGCATTCCATTGAGACATAAACACGGACGCAGAAGTCGGCACCATGGCTAGAATTTATGTCTTTGTAAGTGGCGAGTATTTCCTAAATCCGTATTTCCAATAATCACGGTCACGGTTTCTTAAAAAAATCAAAGTTGGTCACCAACGATAAATTCATGCACAATGAAAAATACAGCTTAAATGCTTCCAACTTATTTTGCAACAAGTCAATTTAACTCAATGATTGGTAAATTATCTCAAAATTACACAAAGTTTGTATTTTTCTCTTTCAAATTTCTAGTTTTTCGTACTGAGCAGCTTTTTCGTTGGATTTGGTGTCGTGGGAAATTTACAATTTAGGAACTCCTCATCAAGTAAGCGGTGCCTTAAACATTTAAAGCCTAACCAACCTCTCACCTTGATTTTCAAAGACTGCAAAGTTGTAAACCAACATATGGGTTTACACAATTAGTAGGAAATAAATACAAAGTCATAAAGCTATGGGGTTACACAATTTTTACAAAATAAATAAATGGACAATCTTGCACATTTATTAGAATTTAATTAAGAAATTTACTTAATAAATAAGCTATTTAATTTCGTGCGTTAATATTTTTCTGGGCTCTGAGTGAACTGTGTAGATCCCATTTTTAATTTCTAGTTTGTCCTAGTAGGAAATAAATAATTTGAATTTTTAGCATTTCGCGAATGGTACGCGCCCAGCGGGCCAGCCACGCGTCAAGTATCAAGCTGCCCCGGGGGACATTGTCACTCTAGAAACTGCTGCTCCTTCTACTGCCTCGTGGGCGAGTCGTGTGTTATGATGACGGGGAAACCGTTCTGCGTGGATGACGAGGGAGGCGTGGAGCCCTATTTTGCCCCTCATTGCGTCGAGACGCGTTGTCTGGATTGTCCCATTTCGTCCGGTTTGTACTGTTCGACCACCATGTGCGAAGATCTTGAGGCATATCCTTCCATGGTGATGTGTGACTTTAGCAGTATTCGTGGTCCCGTCCGATCTTAGGGATCATCCAGGTTTTTGGGTTTATGTAAGAAAGTGTGTCAAATTTTAAGAACCAATTCAATATCGTTAAATTAAAGCAATGCCAATTATAATCTTCAGTTGTTATACATTGTTTATCATTTTTGTTATTACACTTTTAAAGAATTTTTTTGTCTAAAGTTTGATAAAGACCAAATATAAAGATTGTGCATGCAGAAATTACGCTTTAAAAATGTGGTGAAGTCATGACTACGTGTGTATACATTCCGTACCCCTGGTATTGATTTGGTAATAACTTCCCACAAGATTTGTAATGGTGTGGTTCTAAGGGTCCTAAGTAGTACCACGTATTACCCAGACCCGGTGATGTGATATTCATATTATTCATATGTACTCCGGCCGGTAATGGCTCAATACCATTTTTCTAAGAGTGTACTGCAAAAATAATATAATTCCATTCTGCCTTGCCAATAAACCTATGAGTGCTTATATTTAAATATGCATTATTTTTAAGACTGTCGAAAAGACATGAGTCTTTCAAATTGATATCGTTTTATTTCGAAATTCAAAATCCTTTACGTCTCAATCTGAGATTTAATTCGTTACAACTCTGCTCGGTTCCTCAATAGTTGTATGAGCAGACGCCCGAGGACGCAGTGACTCTGCAAACTCGGACCACATTAGCGCATGAAATTTTGCGCAGAATTGCAAGACTCGCAGTTTGGTCGTTTGCAGACCTGTGCTGCCACAATGATTCCGGAAGTAGGGTCCATACACTCCGGATCAGTGCCTTCAGTCACTGCGCAGACGTAGTTATTTGGACAGAGGGTAGAACAGCAGGCGGACTCGTTGCAGGTCGGGCAGGTAGAGTTACCCTGGCCGAGGGATCCTTCCGCGAGGAGGAGAATTGCCATGACGACGGGTGAAAGTAATTTGAAGTTCATTTTTATCTGCAAGAAATAGCAATTTTGAACTTTTTTGCAAGATGGAAATTTTATACTTTTTCCATGAAGTGTAGTTTTGTAAGGTTACGTGAATACGGGGAGAAGGAGAGAGGCCAGCCAGGTGTATGTCTGTACAACCTGGTGGAACGAGGATACCCTATTTATGCAAATTATTGTGGTATACATATGTACATCCTGCTTTAAAATTATTTTAAACCATAGGCAAAGACATGCGGCAGATGTTTAAATCAAAGGGAACAAGTCAAGGTTTCCAGGGAATTGTTGATAATTTACAGATTAATATTAGACCAAGTTCGTTCATTATCAAATTCATATTTAGATAATTTTGGTTGCGAATATGTAGAAAAAATGCATACACATGAATATATCTAAATACATGCAAAATCGACCTCGATTTTGAAATCTGGTCCACATTTCTGTGTAAACTAGGTAAAATATGTACCAACACTATTTATTTATGTATTTAAGTACATAGTTTTGTGCACATGTGCATGGTGAAGCTGATTAAATACTTAAATTATTCCAAATATAGGTCAAGGTTACGGAGAAATTGTGTATGAAAACTTAAATTAGATAAACATTTCTAAAGTTTAGCCCGCTTGATATCGCAGTTGCGATTTTAAATCAAATATTTAATGAGCTCAATTTACATATATGTATAAATGAATACAAAATATGGTTATTACATATTTGTTCCGCGATATTTGTAGGGAAAATAATACACAAAAATCGAGCTGCATGCCAATTAAACATTGAAGTATTTGCCAAGTTATTATGGGACTTGTTCAAGATTTCTGACTAAACTCGGTAAAAAAAATCATTTCTAATGAATTTACTGATCACAGAAGGGTAAACCAAGGAGAGTAAATCTGGGATTTTTATATGTAGAAATTAGAGTTACCAGAAAATTTGCACTTTAAAAGGACTGCGAACATCGGAAAAGATCACAGTCTAAATACATATCTCCTCGAATCAAGAAGGTAGCATAATGTCCAAAATCGGTATTTGTGTAAGTATACATATGAAATCTATTAAAAAAAACAGTTTTGTCCAGGGGCCGTTCACAAATTACGGGAAAATCGAGATTTTTTAGCGTCCCCCCTCTAACATTTGTCACATAGGCACGATGACGATGCCATTGAAGCCTTACCTTACCTCGATCTCGTTCTACATGATTTATGAACGGCCTCTAACATTTTAATTTCGCAGAGATTACATTTTTCTTAAATAATTTGTAACCTAAATTTCTAGTGTGTCGTTCTGACCGCCCTTTTTCTTGGGTTTACCAACGCTGGAAGTTTACAAGCTGGAGAAGTCTCGTCAAGTAAGTACATATGTAAATGTTTAAGGGCAAAGAGGTCACAAAAAAGGTATTAAATAGAGATTCAGGCAGGTTTTGGTAACATTGAAAAATCCGTAAATTCTGTAAACTTGCAAAATTTTAAATAATTTAGGAAGAAAATTACATGTGCATTATTTCGCATATTAAGGGCGGCTCCTTATTTTGTAAAAGTTGGTAAATTATTTTACAAAGAGCACGGGTTTTACAAAGCTAACAAAAACTGTTAATTATTGCCTCAGTATTTATAAAATGATTAAAATTGTTCTACAGGCCTTGGCAAAATATTAATTTTTAAAGATTTATTAAGGGGCGTACACAAATTTTGTCGGAAAAATTTCTGGTTTTGTGAATTTTGTGGGTTTTTTGAAATTTTGTGGATTTTTTTCGAAATTGTGTGGATATTTTTGAAATTTTGCAATGTATTTTCCCTCCGTTTAGTATGTATCACATAGGCACGATATCATAGGCGTCCCTCACCCCTCTCGCGTTACAAAATTTACGAACGGCCCCTTTAAGCAGATTTTATTTGATAAATTACGTAAAAAATAACTTTCGAAATGCATAATTTTGCACATTTCCGAGCGGAGTATATGGATATTTTTTATCCGGAAAGTAACTAATTTAAATTTCTAGAGCCGCAAGAATGGTACGCGCCACGGGTGACACGTGCAATCTCACAGTGCCCCGCGGGTCATTGCCATTCTCGAAATTGCTGCGCTTTCTACTGCTCCACGGGCGACACTTGTCTCATGATGTCGGGCAAACCCTTCTGCCTTGGTGAAGGGGGTGTGCCCACTAATGCCAATACTTGCTTGGAATCGCGCTGTCTAGATTGCCCCCTGTCGGCCGGGTTGTACTGCTCGTCCACCTTTTGCGAAACTTTGGTGGAAGATCCGTCCTTCCGTGTTTGCAACTTTGACCGTATTCGGGGTCCAATTCAGCCTTAAGAGTCATCGAGGTTATGTTAAAATGAAAATATTTTATTCAATTCCTTAATTAAATTAATTAAGGAATCTATGTAGGTTTCTGATGGATTGGACATTGTCGGGAATATGGAAGGTTTATAGATAGAAATGTTAATTTGGCAATATTAAAATTGGAAAATAAACCTGTTGAAGTGAAACTCTATTTACTTAGTATCCCATTATTTATTTTGTTTACTGTATTTGTACTAAATCAATTTATTAATCCATACATACTCTCGTTCCACGGAAGTTTGAACTTTTACAGAAATTTATAATTCTGAGAACCTACGCCACTGCCGGTCTCAAAATTCCCCGCCAGCATTATTTGAAGGAATTTGAGACTGACAGTGCCGTATCTTTTCAGAATTCTCAATTTTTGTAAAAGTTAAAACCTGCATGGAATGAGAGTACATACTGTGCTCCACGTTAGGTTTGTCACCTCATTTGCGTAAATCTAACTGTGCACGCCCATTTTCGGCGATACCTGCTTTCCATGTTGAATAAACTTTATGGCTCTCGCGAATGCACAAATGAGTTGACACGCACAAATAATTCCACTGTAATTTACGTTACGATATTTTCATCTGCTCGTAGGAAAAATTAGAATTGGTGCCTGATTTTTTTAATGTTTGAATTTGATATATATCAAAAAGGCCGGAAATCTGATTTTTTCAGAACATTTTATTTAAATCGACACAGTGCCAAGTTGAAATAAATGTATAACAAATTTATTTCATGAATATTCGCTCGGTATTTTTATTTCATAACCAAAATGTGCATTTTACTTTGATATTGGTTGGATAATATTTAAACGCATGGATTTGATTACGCGCTCACAATGTTAATCAAGTACAGTGGCCGCAGAAGGGCAGGGACAGAGGGACAATGCCCCCATTAGATATCCATATCATCTCCCATGTTATAGAAACCCCTCCCTCCTCCCACATCCCCAGATGTCCCCACGGCTTCCGCAGCAACTGATCAAGTGGGCACGTGTTTTCGGCAGGCAAAAATTCTCATTTATTTCGTCTTTGAATTTGATGTAGTCAAATAAAGTGTATTTCGAAAAGGCTGCAAAGTAAATATTTTCCAAAAATATTATTGAAATCCAGAGAGTTCCAAGTTGAAATGAATGTATAACATAAATTTATTTGATGAATATTTGCCAATACATATTTGGTCACTTTCATTCATTTCATGCCGAAAAAGACATAATATTAATGAAAAATGTCACCTTCCGTCTCACTATCCCCGTCTCACTTTCTTTCTCGTTGTCGTAGCGGGTTAGCAAAGTAAATACTCGCACGTGTCGCACCTGAATTGTTTTCTTGGCGAGAAAACAAATTGCATTCAACTCGTCAAAACATTAATTAAATTAACGTGTAGTTATCACAAAAATGGAGTCGACCCCTGGAGGAATCATTCCTCTAAACAAGTTAAAAATTTGGAAAGTTTTTCGCCACGTGGGACCCGAAGGAAAGGAGATTTTAAAAACGGCGAAATTGGCCCATGTTGTCGACACGGAGCTCGGATTCGTCGTCAGCAAGACGGATGAAACATACTTCTTCTTAATTGACAAGAAGGGCGAGTGCAAAACTATGAAAATTCCGAACCTTTGCGGCGTCCGGGTAAGAGGCAAGTAGATAATTTTGTGGTCCTACTTTTTCTTAAAAAACCGACCCTAAAAAACGTCCCCGTTACGAAAATCCGGGTGGGATCTTTTTTCTGGTTTTTGCCCCCGTCCCCTCGCTTTCGTGGCAAATGCAGTGCGGTTCAACGTTTACACCACAATAATTAAGAGACGTCCATAAATTACGTGACGCAAAAATGCTGATTTTCAGACCCTCCCCAATTTTAACATGTGGCGCAAATGAGGCTAACTTTTACCCTGCTCAGCCCTGACATAATTTATGGATTTAAAGAAAGTCTTCCAAGTTAATTAATTATCCACTAATTATCACCTGAAATATTTACAGAATTTGTTGTTGCCCCTTTACAAAGCCAAAGCTTCGCCGTGACGGAAGACGGACTCTTGTATTCTTGGATTAAGGTGCCTTGTTGGGTGTATAATTGCGAGCAGCAGGAGGATGAAATTATGGGCTGCCTCGCCCCGCGCCTCGAACAGTTAAGTTTGGCGGGAAAAAAGGTGCAACAAGTCGTCTTGGGGAGGGCGTCTCGCGTCATGGCGTTGACGATGGATGGCCACGTGTTTCACTGGGTTCGAGACATGTACCCGGTTTTGATCCACAAGAAGAACTTTGATTACCAGGAGGTCATCTCGCTCGCCTGCACGGACGACATGTACGTCGCTCTTACATCGAATGGAGAGGTTAGTTTACGACTTTTTAACGGGACTAAGTAAAGGATGTTGATTTAATTCGTCCCGATTTTTCCGAAATGTTAGAAAACTTATTGGGCTCTTAGGGTTAATTAATGCTATGAATGATAGCGTAAGATGGTCATGATTAGGATTTACATATTTTATCTTCATTCTAAAGATAAATATTAGCGTGTTTAAAAGTTTTACATAAACACGGTTCGAGCCAAAAAAGCCTTTATCGGGGGACGAATAAAATCAACACCCTTTAATTCGTAAATTTGTATTATTTGAATTTACAGTTATTCCAACATTCAAGTGCCTGTCCAGTTTCGAAGTGGAGACCGGGAAGGGATCTCGAGCCTCAAAAAGTGATTCTGGATTCGGCTCGGGTAAAAAAGGTGAGCCAAACGACAGGAAAAAAGTTACAATTTAAAATATTGGGATGAAGTCTTGAAGGAATGTCCTAAATTTTGTGAAATTGTAAAAAAGGCGAATTGCGAAATGAATTAATTCCTTCCTGTTTTTTATGCAGATCGTTGCAATCAGCCACATTATTTTTGCCCTCACTGTTGAAGGAACCCTGTACTCGGGAAGAGTGTCACAGGAAAGGAAGCCTGTTTGGGGGGTGGTCATGAAGAATCTAAAATTCCACGATGTTGCCGCAAACGCCGGATCGGATGACGTCGTCCTGGCCGAGTTGAAGAAGAACAAGGTCTGCTTAGCGTTGTCCTACCGTGGGGGAATTTTTGATCCGCAAGTTCTCTCAATTTCGTCCAATGTTACTTTGCTAGACGAGCTTTTTGCGGAAATTAGCTCGTCGACTTGGCGAACTATTTGGGCGGACGGGGAGGTGGAAGGTGGTCTGATGAAACCAGGTAAAATGGGGGACGACATTGGCAACCTGTGGGGGAACAAGGTCTGTGTAAATTTAGGGGAATTGTAAATTTTCGTTTATCGAGTTATTTACATATTTATTTTCTAGGAAAATGTGGACGTTACATTCTCCGTGGAAGGGAAAACTATCTCGGCGCATAAATTGATCCTAACATCACGAAGTGAATATTTCGCTAAAATGTTTAGCAACGAGTGGAAGGAGGCGAAATCAGGATCGTGAGTGTTTTTTCGAAAAATACGCCTCTTTTTCAAGGATATTTTTAAATTGTAAATTTCTGCAGGTGTATCGAGATCAAGGACACGAAGTTCGAAATTTTTGAAGCTCTACTCTTCTACATTTACCAAGATAAGGTCAAATTCGCAGGGGACGCGTATGAAAACATTTTTGGTAAGGGGTATTCAAAATTGTGATTTTTTTACGGATCCACCAAACTTTATTGCTGTGTAAAAAGTGGCGAAAATTATGGTAATTTATTTAAATTTTTGTTAGGCCTCATGATGCTGGCGGATGCCCACTGTGCCGTCAAAATTCGTCGGGAATGTGAACAGATTCTGATGCGAAATATCAACCCGGAAAATGCCGTCTTCCTCGTTCGAAACGCTGCCTCGGCCAACGCTTCGGTTTGTAATTAGTTAATTAATACTATTAATTTAATAGTTAATGATTAATTATTGTGTGATTAATTCGTTAATAAGTAAGTTATCATTATCATTTCAGAATTTGGAGAGCAACGTGATCCGATTTATTTTGGATAATCGACTCCTCAACGTAGGTTCGTCGCCGCAGGAACTAATCGACTTATTAGGAATGGACGCATTCCAGAAAATTTCTGTGGCCGGACTTCGTCGGCTGTAATTAAGAAGTTCTTTTGGAATGACTAAGGGTCTAATAATTATATTTCCATGGTAGCCAACATAATTAATTTTATAGCATTCTAAAATGTGCATAATATTCTTAAAAAAATGAGAAGGCAGCATTACTGTCATGAATGTATGACGTTTTATTTAAATATTAAGTATTATTTTTATGACTCGGTTAGGATGTTGAGACCCTTTTGTGCACCTTTTTCTAATCCTTCCAGGAATTCACTTCATTAACCTTAATATTAAATAAAGCTTTACATAACTAGGCTGTGGTACATAAAATACAGTAAAGTTAACTTTTTCCAACATTTAACTTTTTATCTCGAGTTAAACTACAAGTTCGTCACACACTTTTCACAGTTAACAAGTGATACACAATTTTTTACGACACTTTAAATCTGTGTTAATTTTTAGTTCGTTTTTCCTGCTGCTGCTGATTAAAAATTCATATTTCTCTTGTCCTTACTGTAAGGACCTTACAGTTTTCCGTCTTATATCTTACCGAAATTTCCCTTAGTTGATAAGTTAGTGACCACAATGGCCTCGTCACCTGACGTCATTCCTCGGGACAGGTTAAAAATCTTGGAAATCTTTCGTGACGTTGGACCCGAAGGAGAAGGGATTCTGAAGACGGCGAAATTAGCGCATGTTATCAACGCAAAACCAGAGCTGGGAAAATCTAGATTAAAATAATCAAGATTAAGATTAAGAATAATTAATCTTAATCCATAATCTTAATCAAGAAATTTGTTCGTATTAATCAATAATTTTAATCTTAATCTCACGTCAATTTAATTTAATTTTTAATTTTTAATCTTTGAATCTTCGACTTTAATTTTAATCAGGATTAATATTATGATTAAAATTACGCCATCTGTTACTCGAATCCTTGTAAATCTCTAAATTTCAACGCATGATCATCTCTTAACACTGGAACCATTTTTTAAAATAAAAAAAAATTCTAAGTTGGCAGGTTCTCTTTTGAAAGGAACGTTATTTAAAATTGTATTCATTAAACAGATCAAAAAATTTGTTGCAATTAAAAAATTATTTTTTATTATTTTTATTATTATTAATATTATTATTTTTATTATTATTATTTTGAGTTATTATTTTTTGAAATTTAAAAACGCGTTGCATTTGACTGATTTTTACTCGTATTACAAGTTATTGTATTCACCTTAATTTACCAGATAAAACTTCAATAATTTTGAACAACACTTATGAAGCGCTGATACTTCATGCTTTCTCAAATTTTAGAATTTATGATATTATATAGATGTAAACTATAAAAAACGACGAAAAAATAAAATTATTCTTAATTAATGTAATTAATCTAGATTAATTAATCTTTAATCTTTAATTTGTGTCATAAAAATAGATTAATTTAATCTTAACTAATTTAATTTAGTAGCGGAAGAATAATTTTAATCTTAATCTTAATCTCTGATTCAGGGATTTTAAATCTCAAATCTTAATTTTTAATCTGGAAACTCATTAATTTCCCAGCTCTGCGCAAAACACGGAGTCGTGGTCACCACGAAGGATGAGACGTATTCCTTCGTACGTGCCACCGAGGGTGGAGGGTGTACAATTAGTAGAATTCCGAATCTTTGTGGCCTCCGGGTGAAAGGTATTTAAGTAATTTCGGATTATTCGTCAAAAAAGTGTTCAAGGTTAAGGTGGCATTGTGTGCGGGTTTTGAATTTGAATTGTCGTTTCCCTTCTTCCATATATTGAAATGGCGATTTTGAAACCTGTTCATCTCCGTGGGTTTTTTTACAATGTGAAGATTTTAAAATCGATAATTTTTAGCTTTACAAAGTTAGGAGTCTATAATTTTGATTTTTATCTTCCATGAGAAAATAAATGAAAAAAATAGATGAAAAATAACGAGTAAAAACTAAATATTTTCTTATTGAAGAAAAAAATCAAAATTTTAACCTCTTAACTTTGTAAACCTAAAAATCAGCGATGTTTGGATGCATTAAAATCTTCATATTGTTTAAACCCCACGGAGATGAATAGGTTTCAAAATCGCCATTTGTATATCTGTATGGAAGAAGGGAAACGACAATTCAAACTCAAACCCCGCATACAATTGCACCTTAATTCATTATCCACCCACCAATTTTATTTTAATTTAATAAAATTTGTTCTTCTCATTGATGGCCTTGGCTTCCTCATAACGGAGGAGGGATCCCTGTATTGCTTGCTGCTTTGGGAAATTAGGCTAAAAAATAAGTCCTCCGACGTTCCTCTGCGCCTCATGGGCGGAAATTTGGCGGGAAATAAGGTGAAACAAGTGGCCTTAAGAGGGACGCATATCTTGACCTTGACGGAGAGCGGGAACGTGTATCACAATCACATTCACAACATTCGAGACTCAAATTTGATCCCCAAGAACAACTTTGATTCCCAGGAAGTCATCTCGATCGCCTGCACTGCAGACGGCTTGGACGTCGCTCTTACATCGAACGGAGAGGTATCGACATACATTTTTCATACATTTTTTAGGGAGACTAATTCGTGCCCATTTGTATTCTTGCAGTTATTCCAATGGGGACAGGACAAGTTGCCGAAAAAAGTGATCTTTAAAAATACAGCCGAGTTTAAAAAGGTAAGCTGGATTAGATAAGGGACAAATTGGACACTTTGCAAATTTACTGCTTGTTTTCTCCATGCAAAAATAAAATACCCGATAAACTTCCATATTGAGATATGATATGGTGCGTTTTGTAAATTAATTTAATTTGTGATAAATTGACATTGACAATAAATAATTTGGTCAAAATCTACCTTGGGATACTTCAATCCGCAATTTTACAGGATTAAAATTTCTGGAAAAGATTACAAAAGCAAAATATGTATAAATACATATTTACATAGCCGTAAATTGATTAAGGTTTAAGATAAGCGAAGGAAATTCGCGTGTACATAAAACAATTTTAGAACCTTGCCGACTTTACAATACCCTTGAAATTCAATTAATAATTCATCCCCATTTTGCAGATTGTTGCCATCAGCCACATGATTTTTGCTCTGGCGCTGGAAGGAACCCTGTACTCGGGCAGGTTGGATTATACAGATGTTTGGACGGTGGTCATGGAGGATCTAAAATTCCACGATGTACAACCTCTGGAACGGATGACGTCGTCGTGGCCGAGTCGAATAACAATATCCGGTTAGCGTTGTCCTTCCGTGGGGAGATTTTGGAGCCTCGTGTTCTCTCATTTCGCCACGTGTTACCACCTCGCTGGACGAGTTTTTTGCGGAAATTAGCCAAACAACTTGGCGAACTATTTCGGCGAAAAGTCTCCTTAAACCAGTCACACTGGGGGACGACATTGCCGACTTGTGGGTGAGCAAGGTTAGATTGACGTACATAAATTTACATATTCTGTGGTTTAAAAATAATTTGAAAATTTAGGAAAATTCAGACGTGGTATTTTCCGTAGAAGGGAAAACCATCTCGGGACACAAATGCATTCTTGCCTGTCGAAGTGAGTATTTCGCAAAAATGTTTAACAACGAGTGGAAGGAGGCTCAAGAAGGGTGGTGAGTAGCGTACTTACAATGGAGGTCTCCCAACGTATGCTCACAAATTTGGACGAAATTAGTGTCAATCCATCACAAATATAATTAGTATGAAATTTGCAAATGGAACTATCTGCCAATGTACAGGTTTGGCGGAGATATTTGCATAAAAAGAGGAGAAAACGCACCAAAAGGCTGGTATATTTTTCATTTTCCAAATTTCCTGAGCATTTTTTCTGTTTTGAATGCAAATATCTCCGCCAAACCTGCGTATTGGCAGATAGTTCCATTTGCAAATTTCATACTAATTATATTTGTGATCGATTGACACTAGTTTGGTCCAAATCTGTGAGCATACGTTGGGAGACCTCCATTGTTAGTTTTAAAGTCCCTAATAAGATTTCAAATTTAAATTTTTAAGTGAAACATTTTTTTAAAACTTTGCAGCGTGATTGAGATCAAGGATACTGACAATGGAGGCGCAAACCATGTTCAACCCAGATAATTTTTTGACCTTATTAGTTTGAAAGAGCAAGTCTTTACAAACAACATTTGGTTCACCACTTGCGCAGATGCGCAAAATTCAGCAAGTTATGGGCGCCACAAGTTCGCAAAAACGCATGATTTTTGATGCAAGGTCCAGCGCGAGCCCACTCTCGACCACTTTTTGCGAACTTGTGGCGCCCATAACTTGCTGAATTTTGCGCATCTGCGCAAGTGGTGAACCAAATGTTGTTTCTAGAGACTTGCTCTTCCAAACTAACATGGTCAAAAAATAATCTGGGCTGAACATGGTTTGCGCCTCCATTGTGAGTACGAAATATTTGAATCCCTTCTCTTCTACATTTACAATGATAAGGTCAAATTCGGTGAGGACGAGTACGAACATATTTTTGGTAAGGTGAATTCGAAATGGTGAATTTTTTAGAGGAATATTTTTTTTGCCAAAATTTATTTGTCTATAACCTTTATTCTTTATAGTATTAAGTGTCGAAAATTATGGCAATTGGTATTTTTGTTAGGCCTCATGATGCTGGCTGACGCCCATTGTGCCTTCAAAATTCGTCGGGAATGTGAACAGATTCTGATGCGAAATATCAACCCGGAAAATGCCGTTTTCCTCGTTCGAAATGCTGCCTCGGCCAACGCTTCGGTTTGTAATTAATTATTAGTTAATTAATTATTATTGTGATTAGGTAATAAGTAATTAAGTTGGTATCATTATCATTTCAGAATTTGGAGAGGAAAGTGATCCGATTTATTTTGGATAATCGAGTCCTCAACGTAAATTGGTCGTCAGAAAAGCTAATTGCCCTTTTGGGAATGCAAGCATTTCATAAAATTTCGTTGGCAGCACTGCGTCGAATGTAAATTAGTTGGACAATCACAATGTTTATGTAATTGAATAAGAATTGCTGCAATTTGAATTTGATAAATAAAATTGAGTTACGAAATTAATCAGCCTTTTTTTGCACTTAAATACGTTGATAAATATTATCTTACCCGAGTTAATTTCGTTGATAGTTTTGAAATTAGTGAAAAATATAGTTAAGCATCATAGAAAGTTTGCATGATAAAAACTTATTTTTAAAAGGGTAAAACGCATAGACATTATTTTTTTCATATAATATTTATGCAAGCCCGTTAAATTTGGGAAACAATTTCGACATATTTAAATTCAGAAATTTGCAGCATTCCTACAAATCAGTGGTATACATACGTGTGCATAAACTGAACTATGTAAATAAAAAAACATCCGGGACGGGAAGAAACCCGTAAAATCAAAAAAACTGGACTTATGTATACAGGGTGGCCCTCAGTAACTGTAAGTGAAATGAAGCGCTGTAGCTTCAACAGTTTTTGTGTGGCACATTTCTAGTAAATTTTAATGGAAAGCCAGTTAATTTTTAACTAGAAAATATTATTTGGTTTCCGAAATTTCTTCCCCCAACATTAATGCAGAGCTGCAGACGCGGCCCACAGCCCTCGATTGCAGCCATGGATCTAAAGGAAGGGATAAATCGGCTTCAGTACTTTGTTGCCAGAGCAACATGTCGGATTTGGCCTGTATTCGGGGCTGAATTCAGTAAACGAGTTGAAAATCACTTAGTTAAGACCAGTTTACGACAAATTCAGTACGAGGTGCAATAAAATCATCATATAATTAACTTGATTAATTTTGGAACTTATTTAATAATATTTCTTTAAAAAAATTAACATTAATTCCATAAATACGCAGAAATTTTTGCAACTTCGCTAATCTCATGTACAAATGTACAAATGTCATGTACAATTAGTACACAAGCTTTTAAAAGCTGAAGTTGCGTTAAAACGCTTGGAGTGGCAAATAGATGCGTCGCACCAAACCCTCGCCATCTCTCGGAGGTGCAATGGAATTGCCTGGAGGGCAACTCGCTCTTCCCGCTCCGTCAGGACCTGTACACAAAAATTTCATTAATAACAATCTATTATGCATTATGATTTACATGTAATTTGTAATTTTGACGCACGACGTAATCGATCAGTTTATGATCGAACAATCGAAAAATTGCCTCCGCAATTTCCAAATCGCCGGGATGCAAAGGCATGGTGACCTGTGAGAATAAAACATTATGCATTCTATTTAATATTTTTTATGTGCAAATAGTGAAGTTATATAATCAGAATCCACAGTCCAACTATGAAACAGCATTTATTTATTGATTAACAATTTTTAGTGAGATACAAGTCTCTTAAGGCATCTTAACGTGAATCAGTCACGTAGAACAATTTAAAAATAATCAGTAAATTATTCTAATATAATGTTTACATAATTTTTAACTATTTTAACTCTAACATAATTCTAAAGACAACTTCAATTAAACTAGGTAATCCCAAATAATGCTAAATACAACTTAAAATACATTTAAATAATTCCAAATAGTTGTAAATACTTAAAATATATTCTTAAAAATTATAAGGAGCATCTGTAAGATAATTCTAATGCGCTTCGGTAAATATTGTTAATTTGCCAAATTTGTGCCGTACAGAAGTTGAAATTTCTCGCATCTTTTGAAACCTATTTCCATGATCAAATAAGCGAATTTTCAAAAAATGCATCGAAATTCGAGAACAGAGATCAGACAAATGACTAGTTTCAGTTAATGGATCAAAGTCAATTACGTGATGCGTAAGATGTGGGAAAATTGTGGTTTCTAAGCATCGTGCAGTAACCATCATAGAAATCCTACGGTCTAGGTTAGATACCTTCATTAAACCACCAGAAGTTTTGCAAATTTGCCGATAACATGCATCAGTCAGCTCAACTATACGGAAAACGGAATGACAAGGGGTGAATAAGCCTCCGCTATCCTTAGCCTCAATTAGCTTAGCAAAGTGAGAAGGAAGAAGATCATCGTCTGTGTTAAGAAGTGATTCGGCACAAATCTCACACTTCAACTTCGTCCCAACTACTCTTACCACATTCCCGCTAATATAAGCTAGACAATTCCTATAAAAATCTGAATAATGTGGATCAGAGAGGGCGCTAAGATCTATAATGTCCAACGCATCAATGTCATCCATATCGAGCACCTTCAATTTCCGAACACGTTTGAGAGGCAACATACCACCAGGAACTTCACCTTCGTCAATCTGCGCAATGCAGTTACCCGTGTTGGTGGACTTGAGGAGATTTTGGTGCCAGATGGATTTCATAATGTTCCTAAACTCGACCACAGTTGGATTGTTGTTATTACCTAATCTTCCCCTCACGGTATTAAAAAAAAGTTCGAAAGGATCTTGGCAAAACCGATACGTCAGCACGAATTTGAAAGGATTAAACTCTCTGATCAGAAGAGCTTTGCTAATAGCAATGACTGACTTGATGGATATCATCATTCCTAATGCAGCCCGTCTTGAATCACTATCTATCAGCCTTTTCTCGTACACCGCACGTTTACCTGACCTCTTATACTCTCTAATTCCCACGTATTTCATTCCGTACACAGTCCTACAGAATTCGTTTAAGATGGAAGTCATATGGTCAAAGTTAAAAATATTTATTGGTGACTTGTCTCCTCTCTGACCACAGTTCCTCGAGTTTAAAATATCGAAAGTCGTGTCTAATAACTGCATGAAATATGTAGTTCCTTGAGATCCTCTAAAATCTTGCAAATCTAACGAGTCTCTGCAAAATGAAATAGCATCAACTACAGATCTGCTAAGACTTTGGACAGCTAGTTTTACGTTCATTTTATGATTTATAAAATCTACATGATACCTGCCTAGTTTATTGGCTGCTCGAATTTTCTAAACTGTCTGGAGTTCGAAAAGAGCTTCAACAAATCCCCAAGAGACACAACGACCATCCTCCAATGAGATACGACCACCTTTTTCGAAAGAGCGACCCATCAAATTGCGCCATAATTTCATCATATGAACTACGTCATACATTGCGTATACGCTTTTAGAAGGATTGGCAGGATTTGGAAAACTGCAAGGAAAGTCACCATCGATTTCGAAAGAAGCCCCTTGTATTATGCTATCAGATACGCCATACCCTTCAAACAGTGATACGTTAGACGTACAGCCATCAGAAATTAGCGCCCAAACATTAAATTGCTGCTCCTCCAGTAACACAAAAGCTTTATGCAGAAATGCCCTCTGAGTCTCCCCATTAACTTTATCCGTGTATATGTACCCTATCGGACATTTCCAGCCACCAGATATCCCAGCAATCATGCATACTAAAACATTGCTAGCCAATTGAGGGTTTTCAGGCTCATCAATGTCAGAAGTGCCGTAATCAACGAAGCCAACATAGCAATGCTTAGATGAATCCCAAACTAAAGCTCTCCTTATAGCCATTTCGTCTATGATCATTACTACATCTGTCATGACATTATTTGTGTCAGAAAGTCTTGCCTCGCCTAATCGAGAGATAACGTCTAAATTATACCCCGGGCCACAATCTGAGGATTTCATCCAGGAAGCAATAGTTGATGGGTGCGGCAAAGTTAAGTAGTGACGCAAAAAACGATACGCTTTGGGAGAGTGATAATGAAGTGTAGCCGAGAATTTTTTTATCTCCTCATCATACTCCATTCCACTCTTTCCTTTAATACTAAAGGCTCGTTTTTCATTTTCTACGATATGGAAAAGTAACTCAGGAAACCTAGCATCCAAAGTATCTACCTGCCGATTACTTAATGCTTTAAGGCTTTCTAGACTATCCATGTGAGTCGACTGAGCACGATCTCGACGTTCAAGTTTAAGCTCTAATTGATGATACTTAACTCTAAGGTCTGCCAGTTGTTTTTTTACAGCTTTAAGTTCGTCTGCTGCCTGTCCTGGAGATGCGCAATAACTATGCTCGTTCCTAACAGCTCGCCTTGACTTTGGGGTGACAGTAATAAATAAGGGTGATGAGACTTGAAATGAAACGTCTGATGAAGGGTGGTCGACATCTTCTGGATCATGAAAAAGGCGCTTTCTGGACTTACTAGGGGGAAGATTTGGTTCACCAGGTTGGAGCTGATCCGTGGCACAATGTCCCTGAAGTTTCCCATCGATCTCAGTCACAGAAAATGTGTTGGCACATGAAGGGCAAGAGATGGTTCCAATGGACTTAGCTGTTGATGGTGTGACCTCCATCGGTTCTTCTGGAACTTGTGGGACGTCCAATTGCATTCCGGTAGAATTTACATCGGCTGCTGGTCAAACAAATTATTAGGAGAGGGTGATCGAAAGCAATGCTAAAGTTCTCGCCAAGTGACTTACTCATTGTAGCATCGTGAAGAAAGAGAGTTGGGACAGGTTGTCCTCTGAGCCTACGTCGAATACCGGCCGTATATAATTCTTCTGTTAGGAAGTGACGACTACATATCCTAAACTCACGAGTAGGTTCCCACGCCTCATCATTTCTAAGGTTTCGAATTATGGTGATCCAGTTAATTCGCATTTTCTGATGCATGGCCGAATTTGGGAACCTGTTAATTTATAGTTTTGTAATATTTAACTAATTTCATTAAAATGGAGTTCAGGTTGGACTTACAAATGCCATGATAAATCTATCTCCCGATTCCGATCGACCACCTTACAAGAAGGTACAACGCAAGTGCGCTGTTTGACACAGGCCATTGTTCACGTTGGACCTATGATTTAGACGTTTAAGATTTATGAAACTTATTTGTTTATTCAACTACATTCGCGTAAAATTAGAGATTGTATCCTACTTTGGTCTAAAAAGACTTCGGAATTTTAATTACAATTCGATCTTATTTTTCCAAAATGGGTGATAATGCTTACTTTCGGTGTCAATGAATTTGTAGCGTAAAATAATAGAAATGGCTTCATGAAATTAAATTCCAGTTGAAACGTAGGTAAAATTAGTCTTAGCTGGGCTTAAAGTCAATATGCACCTTGGTAACCATGGTAACCTAGCACTGAATTCGGCCCCTGCTCCGTAAGACCGGCCGTATCCTAGCTCGCTTGCGAGGCCATCCATCCATTACGGTGTACAGAAAAGACTCTAGTTTTTACTCATTGAAAACTGTTTTAAACTAAATTTTAAAAACGTAAAATCGCACCGTACTGAATGGACAACCTCGACTTTCCTTCCACTTACAAATGCACACCATCAAATAATAAATATTCAAATAAATGTACGCAATGAATCAATTCAATATGAAAAAAATATAAAAAATTACCTATGTACTTACTGTGTACTGCTGCGATGGCCAGATACACTTTTTTCAGTATTTCAAAATATAATTTGCAATTATTTGCGAGACTTTTATATTGTAAACAAGTGATGATGATGATGGATTTGATAATGATGATATGAGAGGAGCTACTACTTATGGCCTGTCTCCGCGAGAGGCCTCACCTTCATTCACTTTTATTTCATCTCCAAATTGACTGGTGTTACGAGGCATTGATTGCAGCACGCTCTGAATCCGTGGACAAATTGTTCCATTTCGTGGTCAAAGAATTTTTTAAAGCTTTCAGGCTTCTGTGAGGCTTAGAACACACCTTTGTCCCTAAATTTGACCGTTTTTCATAGTCCAGAGATTCAAATCCAACAAGGAGCATGACAATTCCCAAGCGGAGATAATGTTCGGAATTTGGTTTTTTAGCCACCCTTTGCTCATTTTTTGCACTATTCACTGGTACTGAGTCGTGTAGCGAGGTCCAGTCGACTGGATTGGCTTGGATCTCATTTAGGGGATGTACCTCGGAGTCAAAAACGTATTTCAAAGATTTTTATTCTATCAGGTTCCACCCCGTTTCGACAAAATGAGGAGAAATTACCCCTGATTAGCTCTCATCTGCCAAAATCATAACAAAAAATGGATATTGGGAACTTTTGACCTTCTTTTTATATTGAGGGATATCTTTGACCTATTTTGCGTAAACGAAGTCATTTTGTTTGTTTCAAAAATCCTACACACTGAAAATCTGCTCATCTGGAACGACAATTTTCTTTACTCTTTTTTTAACGTACCGCTTAAAGAGAGCCCTGCATTTCTTTAACCGTTTTCTTCTGAGAGATAATCAGCATGCGATAAGTGCTACGTTTCAAAGCCTTAAGTCCATTGTTCAGTTTGAGCACTCGTTGGATAATGTGCATCGACAATGTCAGCTGTGAGGCTATTTTCCGTTGGAATTTCGAGAATTTTTTCGGATTCTAGCCTTCAGCGCCTTCACGGTGGGTGTGGTCCTTGGAGGTTTTCAAAAAATCGTTCTTCGACTGTTCTTAGTATGTACTGTCCCCATAAACGTTTTTATAGTGCGTTAGACTAAATTAAAGTACACGTTCGATTCCTATCACAATTTTCATATTCAATATTTTTCTTCGCATTTTTTTGTCAAAAATTATCGCCGTCCGCGTCCTTTCAAGATTTTCCCTGCTGATATGCTTTTCAAGTAATTACAAACGGACATGTGGTATTTACGTAAAATTGCACGGGGAATCAAATGCGCTTATCAGATCTTGATTATCTCCAGTGGTTTTGCCGTTAAGAGCTACTTACAGCTAGCATAAGTCCACTAGGTATGAATGCAAAGCTAAAATTATAGAAATAAATTTACCAGAATCAAATCCAAACTAATTATTTTAATTAATTTATAAATTATAATATTCTTCATCTTTTTTAAGCCTCTTTCCCATGATTCAAAATAATCTTATGCATGTCTCAATTTCCTCAAGTTGTCATTGAGTTTCCCACTGGCTCGAACTCCAAGCTACGTACGCACATATGAGTCAATGTTTCCTGCTGCTGATTAAAAATTGATATATTTCTCGTCCTTGCAGTTTTTCATCGTATCGCAGTTTCCTTTAGTTGATAAGTGACTACAATGGAGTCATCCGCCTCCTCACCTGGCGTCGTCATTCCTCGCGACAAGTTAAAGATCTTTGAAATCTTTCGTGACGTTGGACCCGAAGGAGAGGAGATTTTAAAGACAGCGAAATTGGCACACGTTGTCGACACGAAACACGGAGTCGTCGTCACCACGACGGATGAAACGTACACCTTCGTCCGTGAGCGAGGGTGCAAAATTACCCGAATTCCGAACCTTTGTGGCGTCCGGGTGAAAGGTATTTCAGTTTATTATAACAGCTATAAAAAAGAGTTAATTAATTATTAACCACCAATTTTATTTTAACTTGCAGAATTTGTCGTTAACATTGATGGCTTGGGTTTCGTCATAACGGAGGAAGGATCCTTGTATTGCCTCCCGCTTTGGGATATGCCACCCACCGTTATTCCCCACCTTGTGGCGGGAAGTTTGGCGGGAAAGAAGGTGCAACAAGTGGTCCTTAGACGGAAGCATGTCTTGACCTTAACGCAGAGCGGAAATGTGTATCACAACATTTCCGAGCCAAGGTTGATTGGGGAGGACAACTTTGATTCCCAGGAAGTCATCTCGATCGCCTGCACGGCAGACGGCTTGTACGTCGGTCTTACATCAAATAGAGAGGTATCGAGAGTTATCCAGCCATTTATTTACATATTTTAGGGAGACTGATTAATGCAAATATTCATTTTTTTCAGTTATTCGAATGGGGTCTGTACGAGTTGCCGGAAAAAGTGATCGTGGATACGGCACCGTTAAGAAAGGTAAGCTGGACTGGATAAGGGAAAAATTGCACACTTTACAAATATGGAAATATATGTTTCTAAAAACGGCCGCAATTTTACAAAATTAAAATTTCTGGAAACGTTCAGACTTCAGTTTATGAAAGCAAAAATCTAGCCGTAAATAAATTATGATTTAAGATAAGCGAAACCTTGCCGATTTTACAACGCCCTTGAAATTTCGGAATTAATTGATAAATCATCCGTTTTGCAGATAGTTGGAATCAACCACATGATTTTTGCCCTCACTGTGGAAGGAACCCTGTACTCGGGCAGATTTCGATATCCAAAGCCTGTTTGGACGGTGGTCATGAAGGATCTAAAATTCCACGATGTCACAACCTCTGGATCGGACGACGTCCTCGTGGCCGAGTTGAAGAAGGACAATATCCGCTTAGCGGTATCCTACCGTGGAGGAATTTTGGAGCCTCAGGTTCTCTCAATTTCGCCGAATGTTACCACCTCGCTGGACGAACTCTTTGCGGAAATTGGGCAGTCAACCTGGCGAACTATTTCGGCGAAAAGTCCCCTTAAACCAGTCACACTGGGGGACGACATTGGCGCCTTGTGGGTGAGCAAGGTTAGGTTGACATACATACAGGGTGGTTTAAATTTCAGGTTACAATGGAAAATTTTTCAATGGGAAAAATTCGCTAATCTCCATTAGTAACTCCATTAGAATTTTGCCATCAGTGTTCCATAAGTTTTGATAAAAATTTATCAAAACTTATGGAACACTGATGGCAAAATTCTTAAAATATTGAATTTCAGAGGCAAAATTTCAGTTACTAATGGAGATTAGCGAATTTTTCCCATTGAAAAATTTTCCATTGTAATCTGACATTTAAACCACCCTGGAAATAAATTCACTACACTATTCTGTGGTTTAAAAAAAATTGAAAATTCTAAAATTTAGGAAAATTTGGACGTGGTATTTTCCGTAGAAGGGAAAACCATCTCGGCCCACAAATGCATTCTTGCCTGTCGAAGTGAATATTTCGCAAAAATGTTTAACCACGAGTGGAAGGAGGCTCAAGGGTAGTGAGTTTGCGTACTTACTAGTTTCTTAATTTTAGTTAGTTTTAGATGGTTAGTTTGAAAATCTTTAATAATATTTCCAATTTGCATTTTAAAACTTTGCAGCGTGATTGACATCAAGGATACGCAGTATGAAATATTTGAATCCCTTCTCTTCTACATTTACAATGACAAGGTCAGCTTCGGAGAGGACGAATATGAGAACATTTTTGGTAAGGAGAATTCGAAATGATTTTTTTCAAGTATTGGCAGAAATTTAACTTTCGCCAACACAATCTGCAAAATTATTTATCTTGACTGAAAAAAAGTTAGCTAATTCAAAATAATCATTCATGTACCAGGCCTCATGATGTTAGCGGACTCGTATTGCGACCTCAAAATCCGTCAGGGCTGTGAGGAAATTTTGATTCGAAATATCAACGAGGAAAATGCCTTCTTCCTCGTTCGCCACGCTGGCTTGGCTAATGCTTCGGTATTTAAGTAATTAATTAATTAATAGTAAATTCATTCTTTGTAATTTATTAGGATTTATTTTGTACCATTTCAGGATTTGGAGAGGAATGTCGTCAAGTTTATTTTGAACAAGCGTCTCCTCGAATTCAGTTCGTCGAGTTTTGACGAGCTAATAGAATTATTCGGAGTGGGCGTAACCAGCAAAATTTTGAAGGCCGAACTTGATCGAGGGTAAATGTTTCGAGTTTGCAAAATTTTTAAAATGGGGACGGGATTAAAGATTTAATTAAAGATTTTGTTTGCGATTTTATATAAGCGTATGTAAACTCGATAAAAAAGCCTTTTCCTAGATTCTGAAAGATAATATTGAATTCACATTTTTGTACTACATAATTATTCATTTTTTGAGTTAATTTCTTGGATAGTTTTATAATTTCTGAACTGAATGTTACAATTTACTGTTTTTAGTATTTACTTCTGATTAATTATGTAAATACGTTGGCAATTATAAAATAAATTCTGCTCTACGAAAAGGGATAAATTACACTTGTTGCGTTTTTTAATTAGGAAAATAATTGGTTTTTATTACCACAAATTTTGTAAAGTGGGTACAAACTAGGTTTAGATTTGCACAGCTTTTAGAAATCGAGCACCCTTTCTGCATAGATTATTTTGGTCAAGTAAAATAATGACGTGGAGAACATCATCGTGCAATAAATATTTTACTTTTGAGGAATTTGTGTCCTGACATGAAAAAAACGTTTCTGAAAATTTCCATCGTTCAAATCGTATTCAAATATTTGTCGAGTTTCCTAATTTAACTAAAATTTGTTTCGTTTGCCGTGTAGAGAAAAAGTTGAAAAAATGAAAATATTTTTGCAATTTTCAAAATTATTCAGAAAAAATGTTTCCAGCTATTTTAGAAAATTAATTTTCCCGATTAATATATGCATAATCACAAAGGTTTACAAAGTTCATATTCTGTATGCAATCCATGAAAAAAATTACCAACTTATTTCGCCAAGGTAAAGTGGAAAGAAAATGTTATTCAGTTCGAAGATAACAAATTTTTTAGTATTTCAACATGTTTTTTTGTAGTTTTTGCTTTTTCATGTTTTTTGACGTGTTACAATGCATCTTTCGGTGGGTCGAGAGCTGGGAAGATTGAGAGTACGATTTTCCGCAAGCTTCGCATTGATAAGGTTTTAGTCCGTTGTGCATGTTGGTGTGTCTGCGAAATTCAGGATAGGTTTTTTTAGGACGGTACATTTTATTATGTATGTAGTTATTTTAGCAGTATTTCGCGTTAACTGTACAAATTTGGCGCAGTTAATTTGCAAAATATTTATAATGAAGCAATTCACGCAAGCCTTGATAACATTCTAAAATCCGTAAATTCTGCAAACTTACAAACTTTTATAAAAGTTGACAAATATTTCTGAGGAATATTAGATTAGCTTAAATGTTTTTTAAACTTACTCAAATCCAGGGTGTCTCTTTATTTTGTAAAATTTTGTAATATTGTTTCAGAAAATTTACGGATATTAAAAATGCCTGCGTGAATTACCTCAATAATTCTAGACAACGTTGCTATTTACAAAAATTGTAATATTTAAAAAAATCCAGAGTTTACAGTTGAAAATTATGTATTCATATTTAAATTTAAAATCCATGCAAATTTGCGGCTATAAGTTTGTTTTGTTTATATAAATAAGTTTACATAATTTTTAAAAAGCATTTTTGCAAATTATTGAAAATTGAAAATTTTAAAATTTACTTTAAGCACTTCAAATTTTACTCACTTGACGAGATCGTTCTTATTGATGAACTGTCTTTCGCACTGGTCACATCGGTGGAATCGGAGCCCCATGCGGGCCAAGTCGGCGTCCGTGTAGGGAATTTTGCAGACGGTGACTTCGTGCGAAATTCGGAGCGAATATTTGCTCAGAACTTTTCCACACTTTGAGCATGGATGAGAATTTCCAAGGGGATGTGGAATTTGGGGGGAAATGGGGACAGAATCTGGCACGTGGTTAATGTCACTATCCAATTTTGGTGGGAGGAGGGAACTTCCCTGGGACGAATCGAGTCCGGATTCACTGAAATATTTAAGGTTTACGAGATTTTTTTAAAATAAATTGCGTAAACGATATATTATTATTTTATAAAATTTTGCAACTACAAAAAGACGTCTACAATCTATTTGAAACCTGTTTTTTTTTATTTGAAAAAAATTGTAGGTAGGTTTACGAAATGAAATTAGATAATTTCAATTCACGCCGTTTCTGGTAACTTTGTAAAATTCGCTATAAAATAATTTTAAAATCTGTATAAAATAAAGCAACACCGTTCATCTTAGTAAAAATTGAACAAACTTGGAAGCTAATTTTGTTTCTTAATTTTTTTAAGAAATTTGTAACTTTACGACTACTACAAAGTTACCAAGGACTACGTGAACTGTTTCTTTAAATAATTTCACAGAATTACAAATATCCTACCTAGTGAATTAAACTACTATTTTAACTAGTTAAAAAATATGATTTTACACACAGAATTGCTATATTTTCCAAAATGTAGGATTGGACAATTTTTTTTACGTTTCTTTCCAATTTTCTCACCTGGCCTCTTCGTCCAAATTGTGGAAACTGTTAATATGCCTGAAATTCGAAGAGATAATTTATGTATTAATAGGTTAATTAACTTAAAATTTAAATGCTCACCTCGCTAGCTGGGTTTTACTGGTATATTTGCGATCGCACTGATCACACGGGTGAAACTTAAGTCTCGTAAGGTTCGGATCGACGGGAACGGGAAGTTTGCAAACTTCGACCTCATGGCGAATGACGTGCGGTCGTGTGGTAAAAGTTTTCCCACATTTGGAACAGGATAAATTTGTGGGGTCCTTTTCCCTGGAGAAATATTGGCATAAATAAATTGCAAAATTTGTGCGAATTTCACATAATTTTCGAAAACTAACGTCTCATGCGTCGTCAGAGGTATTTCCAAGTTGTGTATTCTATGGAGATGTCTGTTAAAAAAAAAGTATATTACAATGCAAAAATATTAGTTTATAAGGGACAATTGTGCAAAAAATGGAGGCAATTCACGCAGTGATTGGCAACTTGATAAAACCCAGAAGTTTTGTAAAACCAAAGTTACAAACATAAAGAAACGCCCGTAATCTGAGAAAGTTTGCAAATATTTGTGAGCTAATTTTCCTTAGAAATATGAGCAAAATTATGTAGAAGTTTGTAAGTTTACAGAATTTACGGATTTTACAATTGTTACGAAGGCCTGCGTGCATTGCCTCAATATTTGCTAAATTTATTTCAAACTTAAAATACCTAGCAAGGTGCGTCTTGCTGCTAAAATGACGGTCACATTCGTGACAAGAATGGAATTTAATATTTGTTCGGCTCTGATCAAAGGGAATTTTGCAAACTTCAACTTCATGTCGGATCAAGTGTTGCCTGCAGCGAAATACTTTTCCACATTTTGAACAAATTAGAGCCTCATTGTTTCCGGTTTCCGGACTGTAATCGCTTCCGGTCTCGTCAAATTGAGATCTGCGAAAAAAACAGGATTTATGCAAAAAAAATTGGCAAAAATTTAGTTAACTAAAATTATTAAGTTTACTCTGGGGAGAAGTAGTCAAGTTCTTGTTCTTGCTCGTCGTTTTTGGTGGGAGTTTTCAGGGATGGCTCAATTTCGAAAGATTCTGGAATTATTTCGGAAAAGTCTGGTAAATCGGGGAACTCTTCTTTTATTTGGAAAAATACTTCCTCCTCTTCCTCTGGTGGTGGGGGTTGGTTTGTGCAAGGTTGTAAAGAATTTAGACGTTTTCTACCGCGTCGAGAAACTGAAAACAGGAAAATTAAGCAAATAATTAATTAATTAGTTATGTACGCGTATGTTTTTAGTGTAGTAAATATTGAGAAGTTTATAAATGTGTATTTTGTAATCAAGACGTGATTTCCGAATGTACTGCTAATTACAAAAATACAAATTTTACCAAACAGGAATTTTACCAGATAAAAATTTTACCGAATAACATTTAAGAAATATAAATTTGGTCAAATAGCGATTTTATCAAATATCGGTTTTACCAAATATTTAGTAATTTTACCAACCAGTAATTTTACTAAATATAATTTGATCAAATTACCAAATATAAATTTTACCAAATTACCAATATCAATTTTACCAAATTACCTATTACATATACTAAATATCAATTTTACTCAATTTTTTAAACAGAAATTTTACCAAATTGAAGATCTTCAAAAATTTGTTTATAAGACGTAAATTTATATATATTTACATAAATACAACCCCGGAAGTAAGACCGACCTATGCGCGGGTTACTGGTCAATTTCTTCCTCGCTGTGACCAGCAGTCCGTCCAGTTCCGTTTGTAGCGCCACGATTTCTTGGCGCAGGGCGAAAACTTCTTTAATCGTAGTCAAACAGACCGCACAGGTTTCCACATTTGTCGCCAAGTAATCCGCAGGAATCGTGTCGCGAAAGGACCCCGTCATCACCAAAGTTTTAAAGATTGTCGTCAACTCGGCGTAACGACGACGGGGCTGCGATTCCGAGGCGACGTTGGATAACCCGCAGACGAAGCAGTGCTGCTGACTGGATGTCGCCATTTTTCCACGACCTGAGAAAATATGTGATTAAAATTTGACAAAAGTTTTGAAATTTTGTGGAATTTCGAATTTCTCCGATAAAATCCTAAAAATAATTTCGAAAAGGTCAAATATAACCATGCACGCAGTCATTGGTAACTCGTAAAATTCGTGCGTTTTGTAAAATAAATTTGTAAACTTTTACAATTTGATCCGAGAAAGTTTGCAATAATTTATAAATTACATAATTTTCCTTAGAAAAATTAGTAAATTGTGTAAAAATTTTCAAGTTTACAGAATTTACGGATCGTAAAAGACTGCGTGAATTGTCTCGTCGTAATTTAATTATAAAATTGATATTAAATCATTTAACAAAATGTTAATAAATTCATGTTTGTTTAATATTCTTAAACAAATGATAAATTTTAACCTGTGAATTGTGAAAGTTTGCAATTTTATCAAAAACTTAGCTGCTATCTTACTTACAAATTACGATATCTTGGTCACCAGAGTATTTTTGGAAATGTTGACTTTTAAATAAAATTAAACTACAGATCCAAAAATCATCAGGATTTTGGATTTGTTATTATGATTTTGTTCAAAAGAAGAAAGTTGGAGGAATCCCGGTCGTGAATCTCAATGGGGCAAAAGTGCAATTTTATGTAATGAAAAACCCAGCAAGTAAATATGTTGAAGCAGTGGCCGCAGAAGCATGGGGACAGAGGGACAATGTCCCCACGGGTATTCGATATCCCCATCGTTTTATCAACTGTTGGGGTCAATCGGACCACCCCCTCGGTATCAGGGTGTTCTATCGGAGCAAAATGAGATTTTTATTACATTTTAATCTATACAGTGAAATTAATTTTTCCCGCGCTGATTGGGGTGAATTGAGACTGAAGCTACTTCAGTATGTTCGAGTACTACGGTTTATTTCTAAATTTTTAATACATCTTAATCAGTTTGAGTTTATCATAACTGGTTGCAAAGCCGTGATATTTAAGTAGCGACGGTAAAACTGGTTCCAATTTGCGCACGAAACCGGTGTCTTGAACACGACCTAGCTTAACCTGCTTTTCCTTGTTGTGTAAATATGGTGTCTAGATCTGCTTGAACCAACTGGAGTTTATCCAGTACATAGATGTGAACAAAGGATCAATTTCTGCCGAATAAGTGCATAGGTATGCATGTAAATGCAGCATGTTTATGAATTGAAAGTATTCAAGCAGTGATTAAAAGTAAGGTAAGGGGCCGTCCATAAATTAGGAAACGCAAGTCGCGATTTTTCCATATTGTGGGTCATGCAATGCACCACAATAAGACTTGCATAATAAGATGGGACGTCCAAATTGGAGGTCCTAATTTATTATGTAAATGGTTAATTTCAGCTAAATAAGTGGGACGTTAAATTTAATATAACCCCTTGAATATTTGTGCCAAAGGTAAATGCCTCCCAACTTTGCGCCGATGGCGCTGCGGCGTCCTAATATTGAAAGAATATGAGGTCAGATATATCGGCGGCGCGTACACTGGCCTTCAGCGGCGTGCGATCGGCAGCGTTGAGTTGACCTCTTATTTTAAAATTAGGAACATTCTAAAAATTCCTTAAACACGTGTTCAATTATTAAGGGGTGAAAACCCCTTTATGGAAATGTCTTGTCCGTCCGTCTGTCCGTCTGTCCGTCCGTCTGTCCGTCTGTATCCACGATAACTTTAGAATGGTTTCGTATTTCTGCATGCGGTTTTCGCCAACGTGTTTCTAATTTTTGAAGTATGGATGAGTTCGAAGATAGGCGTCGTAGGTCATACGGTCACGGCGCCACGGTGATGAGATAAACGGTCAAATGTGTCGAATTTTTTGTTTCGGCCGTTTTAGACGTAGTTTTGGGCGAGGATTTCAAAGATCGACATAGTTTTGACGTGCCACGACCGTGTGACCGTGTAGACGACGCCAAAGTCGAAAATTGTCGAATTTTTTGTCGCCACCGTTTTAGACGTATTTTTTGGCGGGGATTTCAGAAATAGCCATTATTTCGACGTGCGACGACTCCATGACCGTGTGGGAGGTGTCGAATGTCGAAAAATGACTTTTGTCATGTGAGGTGTCTATTGAAAGGTATTGTCGTATACGTTAAACTACGCAGGTGGGGGTGTCAAAACGGGGCAAAATGAGACGTGGGGTAATGTGAGACAATGACGGGAAAGTGCAGAAAGACGTTGTGGGCGTGCCACAAAGACAATTCCGTGTGTTTTCACCCCTTTGCTACATTTCGTTTGAAACGGTTTATTTATTTAAAGTTACACAATTATTGTATTTTCATCAAAATCGGAGCGAGACCGCTGGTGTTGTCGCATTGTGCCAGAAAAGTCGAAAACGTTATATATTGAAGTCATATTTTTTTGTACAAGAAATTCCAGCATGAATCTACATATATTTGCAGGACTTCGGGTACATTATACGTATGCCATAACCATACTCAACATACTGTCTTCTTCTCCATTAATGTGTGCTTGAATTCTATTGTCTTCTGCCTTGAGTTAGATACTCGAAACATACCAGTTTTCAGACGGTCACGGCCATCGAGAAATTCAAGGCCATCGAGAATTCGTTCTCAAAAATGTGCAAGCTACTTAACCCAACCTGGACATTTTAGAAGGAAAAAGTGTTGCTGACGTGTGAATACATACAGTATGTAAATATGAATATATATACACAGGTATTATTTTATTACGGATAGAAAGTTGTGTATGCAGTTTATGTACATACATCATGATGCATCATGATGCATAAGTATTTTCGTCATGTAAATATGCATGTAGGGCTGAATCATTAACTATGTAAATACCTAGTAGTGCCATATGTTATGTACAATGCATTCCGCTCAAAGATAAAATTAGTTGGAGCTACGTTAGGGTGTTATACTATTTTTTATTGAAATCCCCATGCAATTGTCGATCAGAAACCATGTTGCTAATTTTTTGTGACCTAAAGTGCCAAAGCGACAGATCGGCCAAACCGACGTTTTGCAATTTTTGAGCAACATTTTGGTAAACAAAAAAATCCGGCATTTTTCAATTGCTCAATAAAAATCGGAACTGAACGCATGATGGTCGACCGTACCACAAAATGACCAACTGACACTGGGAGTGACGACTGCCGAAAAAGAAGTGGAAAGAGACGGTCAAAAAGGTCACCAAAATTCACGAAGGCCCGAAAAAATGGATTCGCCCAAATCCATGCCGAGCTCTAAAAAAATTCCCTCACAAATGAACGGATGAAGTAAAAGTAAGTCCAAAGCCCGTAAACTAGACCTTGGACTTATGTCTTCACGACATAAGGAGAAAAGCTTCCTAGCTACACGCCAAGTAAAAACAGACCCATTAGAACCCAGGCGCCCATCATGCGGTACACGCTTGAAAAATGGAATTGCTCGGCTTTGATCGGCCAAGTCCACTTTTGTGATTGAGATCAAATAAAATAGCAAAAGAACTGTGTTCATACCTCCCCGGTCCAGACTATTCACAAAAATTTCAAAAACGTTGAGAGGATCCACCATCGTGCTTCTGTGATTTTTTTGTTGGACACAAGTTGGATTTGGTCGAAAAATGATTTCTCTTCTTCTGGGGGTGAACTGAAGTGTCAAAAAATATTTGTTGAAGTTCTCGAGCGAAATGTGGAACCCCTGAACCACTCTCAATTCAATAACACCCACTAGACGTTCAGGAAATGTTTAGGTGCTGCTTATGAGGCCAAAATTGAAAAATGGTGGTTGAAATCCAAAATTCTTGACTCCATTTAGGATTAGGAATAAAATTGACTGTCGCCGAAAATCAGCCTTCTTTAATATGACATATGGTCCAAACTGAAGCTCAACAAATTAATTTATTACAAATTAATTAATTATTTAATTAATCAATTTATTAACTTGTATGTGCTAAACCACATACAAGTTTGGCATCCAAGAAGAAAACTATCCCTTAGAAATGAGATTAATAATCCTTGGAACGAGTGCGTACCGCGAGTGACATGAGAATTCCTAAACTTTGGGCCAGTGTCGCTTCGAAAAGAGGAAATTTGAAAACTGGTTGATCTATTTTGAAGAGAATTTAGTGGGCTTTCTCGTGATATTGTTATTTTTTCAAAATTCAATAAACCTAGCCGGCTATATTCATTTATGTAGTCCACAAAACATATGGCACTACTGGGTATGTACCTGGTAAAGCTACATAGATAAGTAAGAAGTAAAGATTGCCATGGTTCGTAATATTTACGTACTTTGTTTTTGCATGGTTTCCTAATACATATCTTTATGAAATTAACGGAAAATATTATATTCATAAATTATATGTTGATGAATTTCAGATCCTTGTCAAATCAAGACCGGATTGTAAAGAATCAAAGATTTTAAGACATTAATATTAATCCATTTAAAAATAATCCTCTCGAAATAAACCGTTTACGGAACCCTGCATTGAATTTCATTGGAACGGACACATATAAAAGTGGCAGATTTGCGTCCAGTTTGTCCCCAATTTTGCGAGAGTGAGAGAGAAATTTTGAAATTTATATTGATATCATATTTTGTGAATATTTCCCAAACAAGGTAAATCTTAAGGTATGCAGTTAATAATTTTTTTAAATTTTTGAATTTGAAGAAATATTAATATCATAAATGATTCTTTAATTTGCTGTAAAAATTGTAACGCTTTCATAAATTAATCAATTGTTTAATTTTTGATTTCATTATTTAAAATTTTCAAGGTTTAAATACTTATATACGTAGTTAATACATAAAATTGTCTCAATTTTCCCCTAAAGCCTACTGCCTTCCACCGCTTAATTTCAAAATGTGGGATCCAGACACGTATGTAAAGGCCATCGTGACAAGCTATGCGGCAAAACCGCTGAAAATTTCTATTTTTTCATACCAAATATGAGTTATGGATTTTAATTTTAGAAATCGCGCCATATCTTAAAAACCAAGGCTTATTTCGAAAAAGTCAATCAGTCGAGGGCACTAGCCGGGACCTTCCCCAATACGATCCCGTTTAATTTAGGTTACCAAAATGTATCGTCTAGGCTGTAGCTCAGTGGAGAAATTGGTAGCCGAAATTGCAAAATTTTTCGGAAATTTGAACTTACCGCCTGTACCTAGCATTATTTCGAAAAAATTTTCGAGTAAATATTATAGATAATGCGGTTATGAACATATTTGCTATTACATACAACTTTGTGTTATGCACCCAATTCATTCAGCGAAACATTTATGATTTCGAAACCGAAAAATCGGTTTTTATTGAATTTCTTGAAAATGGTTCAAGATACCATGAATTAGAAAAAAGTCATTTTAAAACTTTTCGAGAGGCATCTAATGCACTTTACGGCATCTCTTTACGCCCAACCATTTTTTTGTACGAGCCCCCGACATTTCCCATAAGAGTGCCTGACAACATACTATATGTTCCACATATAGCGCCAAATGTCTCAGGTTGCCCCGACATTTGAGCTTATGGTGGAAAAAATAGAAAAATTCCCGAATGTCTGCATGATCTAACCGATCGACTCGAAGCGATCCCTTGGCGGGAGGGCGAGGTCGTTCTGGATTACGGGTGTGGCACAGGTCAGTGGCGGCGGAAGTAGGGGGACATTGTTACCCCAGAAATACATTTAAATCATATCTTGCCTATGTTAATAAATCGCTCCTCTTCCTATCCTGCAATGCTAATGTTCAAAAATCAGGTCGCACCACGGTCCCCTTCATCCTCCCGAAAACGGTGGCCACAAAATCCCGTGTTTTCGGCGTCGACAAATCCTCCATCATGATCACCTCGGTGAACGCGGGGAATAAAAGTGACCACGTGTCCTACGCGTTGGGGAACCTTTTAGTGGATGGCGGCTTTCCCCACGTGGGTGTCCAGTTCGATAAGATCTTCTCGTTTTACTGTTTCCACTGGTTAAAGGAGTACAAGTAAGCGTGGGAATTGCGGGATTTTGGAATTAATTAGGACGGCGGGAAAACTTAGATTTTGGGGGAATGTGAAACTTGAATTATGTATGCATTTTTTTAAATATCCGCAGACAAGTCTTGGCCAAGTTCTACCCTATCCTTAAACCCGGCGGGTATATTTGTCTCGTGTACGTAATTGATGCTCCACATTTCTTACTTCTCCAGCAAATTGGAAACCTGCCAAAGTGGGGGGGATATATGAAGGTGGGTAATAAAACCGTGTTTTTTTCGGATGTTAAATAATTACGATGCAGGTCTCTCATTGTATGCTCTCTGATTTTGATCAAATTAGTGTCAATCGACCACAAATTTGCATCAGAAGATTAGAAAACGTGCAGAAAATATTTTCAGTTTTAAATTTGTCAAATTTGTAGAGCCTTTTCTTCTCTTTGGATGCAAATATCTCTGCCAAACCTGACCATTGAGTAACGGTGCAAACCTTTCGCAAATTTCATGTCAGTTAAATTTGCTATCGATTGACAACAGTTTATCGAAAATCGGAGAGCGTACGCTACCAGACCTCCATTTTAATGTTAAATGTAAATCACCTTTCTAGAAAATACGGGATCATCTCCCCGAGTGGATTGAGCAATCGCAAGATGCACAGAAAGAGTTGGAACAATCCTGTAAAGAAATTGGGTACGAGAAAGTGGAAAGTCTCGTGCACAAGAGCAACGTGAAACTGACCTTGGACGCTTTCGCGGGTAAGAGATTGTATAAAAACGTGTCCGAAATTTGCTCAATTTCCGGGTAACAATGTCGATGTCGGTACTACATAATTCACCACTTTTACAAATATCGCCAAAAATGTCGACTGTTTTAGTAAGGTCGTTTATGCCCCGTTTTTATATCTGTTTAGACGTGGTCATGTCGCTGAACCCGTTTTTGAGTGAGATTCCTCCCACTTTGTATCCCGAGCTGAAGGCGGATTACACCAAGTTGATCCTTGCCAAGGAAGACGTGGTGCAGAATGGAGGTCAAGAATTCCAGTTTAAACACGACGTGCTATTTGCGGTATTTCGAAAACCAGGAAACGAAAGCAATGGGTTTGTGAAAAATTAAACAATTTTTTACGCAATTTGTTTTTGATTTTTTTTTCATTTAAATCATGCATGTTTTCTAAAAAGTTATACTACAAGTTCGAAGAATAAAACGTATCTGAATTTTCAGAAATAATTATTTATAAACAAAATAATTACCACGATAATTCACATTTATACTTTTTCGGGCATATTTATTTCCTGGGTATTCATACATATTCTCGTTTGTACTTAATATGTGACAAATACTCACTTGAATCACAGATTTGTCTGATTATTTTTATTGCAATTTTTTTAAATTAAAGTTTAAGTTGCGAAACTTTGAATACCTATTTCTAGATAAAAACATCCAATTTTCAGTTCAAAAGTATGTGTCTTGGAAATGTTTCATATAATAATAAGCATTTATTATCCTCATTTACTAATACTAGTGATTACAAAATTCGGGGTTAATAGTAAAAAACACTATCTAATTGATTTTTGCAAAACAAACTAGAACTATTTTCATGAGCTTACAGTATCAAAATTATATAATTAATCTTATCTACAGTCAAATATATCCTAATTAATTATTCAACAAGTTTGGGATTTCTCAGGTTTGCAATTGTTTCTAGTTTATAATCATAAATTGTTTGAGATTCTTTATACTCCTCATTAATTTTATTAATAATTACATTAATAGTTGTGTTTTGATAAAACGAATTTTTAATATAAGGTTGAACAATAATATCTTTTTGTGACCTCAATGGCCTCAAATTTGTGTTGGCACTAAATGATGGTAAAAAATAATTGTCTTCCAATTGATAATTTGAAACCGAATTTTTCAAGTGCAGTATTCCTCCTACTTACAACTGATTCTATGTTATGTAATTCTAAAACTTCTTCATAATTGAACCTATCTACCCTTTTACGGTTAATAATTGGCAGTGCCCTTTTTTGCACCCTTTCCAACTTGTTACTTAATTTACTGAACAATATTCCAGATTGGAACACAAATAAACACAATAAGCTCTTACCAGCTCGTTAATGCCAAACCCTGCAGTAAAAAGTTTGCGTAATTGAAATAATTTTGAGTTGGCTTTACCAACAATATCTTGAATATGGGCGTGCCATTTAAAACTACCAGAAATTGTTACCCCTAATATTTTAATTTTTTGGACGACAGGGACCATTACATTATGAATGAAAAATTTGGATTCGTATTTAATCCTCCATCCTCCGATGTTAAGCAACAATATTTCACATTTTTAGCCCGAGCCAGGGCTTATGTACCCGTTATGTCTGTCTGTCTGTCCGTCCGTCCGTCTGTCTTCGCGATAACTCTCTTCAAACTCAACCGATCGACTTGAAATTTTTACCACATCTATATCTACCCAAAAGACAAATCAAGTTCGAAGATGAGCCGAATCGGTCAAGTGGTTGGCCGGTGGGGGCCATATGGGTGGTGGGGTTATTATGCATCAAATTTTCAAAATTGTTGTAGAAAGCTGAAATTTGGTAAATATGTAACTAATGGCTTCTAATGAAAAGATATGAAGTGAATTTGCGAAAATTTTTATCTGGAGGGACCCTATGGGGTCACTCAAACTGATTTTTCAAAATCGTCCAATTAAGCTGAAATTTGGTATGGAAGTCGATAGCAGCTTATAATGGGAGTTTATGATGTACAATTTTGAAAATTTTGACCCAGAGGAACCCGGTGGGGTGACCCATACTGATTTTGCAAAATCACTCAATTAAGCTGAATTTTGGCGTAAAGATTGGTAAACAAATTCTAGTTGTACCCACCCTGGCTCGGGCTAAGCAAAGCTGCACTGTAGGTTTTCGGGATTGTGCCTAATCTTGACTTCCGTACAGCTACTAGCTAAACAATCCAATGCTTCCTGCATTTTTGGGCGATTGTTAATAACTCGCTCGACCATTACAATATCATCGACAAATCCAGCGCAGCAAAAATTTGGATTGTTGATAAAAAAGATCTGTAACTTTTGTAATACAAAATCAATCAATAAAATAAATAATAAGGAAGCTAATTTTGTGCCTGCTGCTGTTCCACATATAGTCACACATTTATAGTCCGTGCAAATTTGTGGTTATACAAGGTTGAAAAATTTACACAAAATGTATTTAATTTAATCAATGAAAGTATAAATAATTTACATATGTACATATGTCGTTAACGCGTTCTTTCTGATGAAATGTGTCGCGTCCCCATCGGAGCCAAGCGGGGACTTTTACAAACGATAACTTCAGATTCGGATTGTCGTAGTGAATATTAACTGAGAACTTTTTCGATTTATTGACCTTGAAGCCGACCAATATTTTTACGTTTTCTTGAATGCGCGTTTTGTCGCTGGTGGCATACATTGGGAGACCTCCATTGCCAGCAGGCTTGAAATCTTGGTCGGGCACTAGCCTATCTTGCAATGTTACTAGCCCGGGCAGGAGATAGAGATGCCCGACCAAGATTTCTAGTCTGATTGCCAGTAGACAAACTAACCTTCAAAATTAGAATGAGGTACATACTTGCTTTATCTAGAAATAATGCACTTCAGTGTGCAAGACCGGTTCAAATTTGCACACGAAACTGGGAACGTGTCTGGGACACGACCTAACGTATGTATGCAACTTGCTATACCTTATGTATGTAAGATGACTGGACTGCTGGATCTATGTGATCGAACTAAAATTTACTACATACGAACTATGCATTTATGGTTATTTAATGACCTAACCTAACTTGCTTTGCATTATGCAAGACGTCTGGATCTGCTCGATCATATCAAACTAAAATTAATTGCATATTAGATAGATACTTTGTAATGTGTATGCAATGATAATAACTGAAATAAATAACTTATGTACATATGCAGATTCCAGACGGTCAAGGACACTTAATTCAAGGCAATCAACAATGCAGTCGCAATAAAAAAATAAATGTCTCGCCAAGCTAGTTCAATACAAGTATTGTGGTCATACAAATAAGTCACTAACCAACAAACAATGTGGACACAAACCATGTTCAACCCTCATGATTTTTTGACCATCTCATTTAGAAAGTGCAAAAATGTAGAAACAAAATTTCGGGAGGTGCTTGCGCAGATGTAGAATTCGGCAAGCTATTTGGGCCGCAAGTTTGCGGAAAGGCCAAGTTTTCAAGCAGAACCCGTGTCTTTTCGCGAGCTTGGGGCAATCCTGGCGGTCTGCAGTTTGCGCATCTGCGCAAGTGTCGCACTAAATAAATGTCTTTCTAAAGAGTTGGTATTTCAAACTGAGATGGTCGAAAAATCGTCTGGCCTGAACATGGTTTGCCTCCCCATAGTATAGTCAATTTCCAATGTTAAGTAATTAAAGAACGAATTATAAAGAATTCAAGGTGTGAAGGCGTTCTTTGTCCATTTTTAAATAAATCTCTGACAATGAACGATGTGCGGCGCTCTGCATTAAATACTTAATGCCACGGATACGTATAAAAGCAGCTGGTTTTCGTCCAGTTTGTAGACAAATTTAGTGAGAGAGAGACTAGCTACATAGTATTGTGGTCATAAATTGGTTTTGCATATTTTCAATTTGTAAACTTCAAACGAGGTAAACTGCACGGAATTTTTGAAAACTTCATAAGCATAGACACGTCTGCTCATTTCTTAAAATATTCCATTAAATTAATTTTGATTAATAGACACAAATTGTAACAACTTGATAATTTGGAGATTGTTTTGATTTAGGGTATTCAAATTTTCAAACTTTGAATATGTAGTTAATACAAAAAATTTTCTTGATTTTCCCTTAAAACATTACCCTGCACCGCTTACTTTAAAAATGTCTTGGTGACTGACGCGTTCAAATTGTAATACTAAAAAATTTCTGTTTTAAAATCCTAAAAATTTAATTGTGAGTTAATACTCACAATTAAAAAGTTTAATTTACCAATTACCCCTTTTTGATTGATCAAAATTCTCAAGATTTCAATAACTAACATTCTCTGAATTATCTCCTAAAGGCTTCCATTTTGCCGCTCATTTTCAAAATGTGGGACCCCAACATATTTGTTAAGGCCATCGTGAACCTTCCTGAATGTCTGAATACGCTGACCGATCGACTTGAAGCGATCCCCTGGACGGAGGGCGAGGTAGTCCTGGATTACGGGTGTGGCACAGGTCAGTGGCGCCGGAATCTGGGGGACATTGTCTCAAAAACTCATTTAAGTCACATTATCTGTATGTTGTACATATGTATGTACTTTGGTGGGTAGACTGGCCCGAACGCCAAGGTGCGGGGGTAGATCATTAAAGTCTAATTGCCGGCTCCCCAAATACACGTGCTAGTATAGCCATCTTGCAGATGTCCTAACTGCTATGCGACTACCCCACCATGCACAGTCCCGTGGAGTAGGGCATCCCCATACATTGTTAATAAACCCCTACTTTACCAATCTAACTATGCTATGTATTGTCCCCCTCCAATTTGCGCCGCCACTGGCACAGGTCGCACCACAGTCCCCTTCATCCTCCCGAAAACGGTTGCTACAAATTCGCGGCTTTTCGGCGTGGACAAGTCCTCCGCCATGGTCACCGCGGCGAACGAGGAGAACAAAAGTGACCACGTGTCCTACGCGTTGGGGAACCTTTTGGTCGATGGCGGATTTCCCCACGTGGGCATCAAATTCGACAAGATCTTCTCGTTCTACTGTCTCCACTGGTGTAAGGAGTACAAGTAAGAAGGGGGAAATAGTGATTTTTAGTTCAGAATGGCGGAAAAAATTAGACTCTGGGGGCAATAGGAGACTTTAATTATGCATGATTTTTTCCAACCTCCAGACAAGTCTTGGCTAACTTTTACCCTATCCTTAAACCCGGCGGGTATATTTGTCTCGTGTACGTAATTGATGGTCCACATTTTCTACTTCTCCAGGAAATTGGCAAACTCCCAAAGTGGGCGGGATATATGAAGGTGGGCAAAAAACGCTTTTCAGGTGTTAACAACTTTTTACTCCACGTTGAATATAAATATGTAAAATCACACCCTAGAAAATACGGGACAATCTCCCCGTTTGGATTGAAGAGTCACAAGATGCACAGAAAGAGTTGGAACAATCCTGCAAAAAAATTGGGTACGAGAAAGTGGAAAGTCTCGTGCACAAATGTAACCCAAAATTGACCTTGGAGGCTTTCACGGGTAAAAATTCATGCAAAAAAGTGTCAGAAATTTTGTAAATTTTTGGTAACCATATACTGTTAGAAATCTGACATTGTCGTTGATTTCTATGTATTGAAGTTGCTACCTCTTGGTATTAAAAATATTCAGGTCCCTATGCGATCAGGTAAAACTTATCAAAACGACGTTGCTACATGCATAAATACCACATCATATAATTTTAATACTGGATTTCTAAGAGTGTTGTGTTTATGCCGGTACTACAGAATTTACGAACTTTCTGATTATGTATCAGCTTTGTTGCAACAATTTAGTTTTTTTAATGACGTTATTTATGCACTGTCCTTCTTATTGATTTAGACCTGGCCATGTCGCTGAACCCGTATTTGAGCGAGGTTCCTTCTGCTCTCTATCCCGAGCTGAAGGCAGATTACGCCAAGCTGATCCTTGTCAAGGGAGACGTCGTGCAGAATGGAGGTCAAGAATTGCACTATAAATACGACGTGCTATTTGCCGTGTTTCGAAAACCAGGATATGAAAAGAATGGTTTTGTGAAAAATTAAACAAATTTTTCTAATGAAATTCGTTTTTGATTTGTTTTTTCATTTCGATTATGTATAACTATTTGCATTGTCATAACTGCGTTTTTGTAAAATAGATTTACAAAGTTTTATGCTTTACAAAATAAAGAGACGGATTTGATCTGAGGATGTACGAATCTCATTGGGGAAATGCGATTTTGCGTATCTTAATATGCATACAAATATGTCCATTTGTAGTCTTCCATATTTTAGAGTTTTCGTACATACATATCCATTTTTTCCAACATATTTTGAGTTTTTAGTAGAGATTGTATCTCTTTATTTCGAGCCTTTCTCTAATATATTTTAATACATATTTCGAGGTTTTACACGTAATTTTTTTTTTGCATTTAGAAATATCGGTTTCCTCAAAATTATGTCTTCAACTAGTGGGCACCATTTGTAAATCCAGTTTACCCCATTTTTGAAGTCGAAAAATTATTCTTCAAAATTTCGAAAGTAAAATTATTTAAGCCTCATTATGAGTCATTAAATTAAGATTAAAACGTAATTCATATTATATTAGACACATTAACTTATAAGATTTAAAAAAATTAGAAACTTTCTTCGAGTTTAATAACTCGATGAAATATAAATATACTAGTAAATTTCAGTTAAAAACATTTCTCACGCGTTTTTATGTACATTTTTTAGTTTATTAAGCACATATATATACATACATATTTAGAGGAATGTACAAAGTAATTAAGTACATATCTACATATGCATGTATACATAAATATGTACGTATCCACCCTATGGCATGGTAATGAAACCAGTCTTCCCGTATTAAATTTTTACATTGATCAATACCCAGGTTCTAGGAGTACACCTTGGATAAGTTCAAGGCGATCAACTAGTCCTTCCCTAAAATGTGAGAGGTACATACTTAACCCAACATCGAGATTTTAGTTGGAAAAAGGCTGTAAAACGTGTAGAAAAACAAGTCATAATGATTGTACGCAAAGGGAAACACAAGCTTTGCAGTTTGTATTAGAGGTAGATAGAAAGTTGTTTTTCTAAATACGTAGATAGGCTATGCGCATCGGATTACAAGTATTTTCGTCATGGACTGACAATGGAGGTCTCCCAACGTATGCTCACAGATTCGGACCAAATTAGCATCAGTCGATCACGAATATAATTAGTATGAAATTTTCAAATGGAACTACCTGGCAATGCTCAAGTTTAGCGGAGATATTTGCGTAAAAAGAGGAGAAAACGCACCCCAAAGGCTGGCAAATTTTTCATTTTCCAAATTTACTGTCAATTTTTTCCTCTTTGGATGCAAATATCTCTTCTAAACCTGCGCATTGGCAGATAGCTCCATTTGCAAATTTCATACTAATCATATTTGTAATCGATTGACACTAGTTTGGTCCAAATCTGTGAGCATACGTAGAGAGACCTCCGTTGTTAGTTATTAACAGGGTACGTGGTAAACCCATGTACAGGTAGGTACAATAAGTAACCGTTGCTATGGTTTGTAATATTTACTGTGTTTGTGCGTGGTTTTCTACATAGATACAATTATCGTATTCAATATATATTTATTCAATTAAGAAAACAAATCTAAGATTCATGGAGTAAATCGCAGACGAATTTTAGATCCGAATTAATTCTAAATTTTTGAAGATGTTAAACTCTGTTTCATTTCTGGTGATATCAGCGGGAACGTCATGTGCCCATTTACTTAACATGGGCACGTGACTTTCCCGTCGATATCACCAGAAATGAAACAGAGTTTATTAGTCCATTTAAAAATATTTTTTTTGCTAATGAACGGAACCCTGCATTGAACAAGGGCAGTTCAATGCCACGGGGCACGTATAAAAGTGGCCGAGTTTTTGTCCAGTGTGTCTCCATTTCCCGAGAGAGTTGAACAAACAAGGTAAATATTACGGTATTTTTTCAATTAAAAGACATTAATTTCGTAACAGGTTTTTTAGCGTGTTATTTAATTGTATAAAATTGTAAACTTTCATAATTTATAATTTACACACATAATAATATATTAAATTGCTCAGAGTTTAAATACATAGATACATAACTATGAAGACATAAAATTGTCTCAATTTTCCCCTACAGCAACTACTTTCCACCGCACACTTTCAAAATGTGGGACCCTGACATGTACGTTAAGGCCATCGTGAACCTTCCAGAATGTCTGGATGCGCTGACCGACCGACTTGACGCGATTCCCTGGAGAGAGGGGGAGGTCGTTCTGGATTACGGGTGTGGCACAGGGCGTGCCACGGTCCCGTTCCTCCTCCCGAAAACGGTTGCTACAAATTCCCGGCTTTTCGGCGTGGACAAATCCTCCGCCATGATAACCACAGCGAACGAGGGGAACAAAAGTGACCACGCGTCGTACGCGGTAGGAAATATTTTAGAGGATGGTGGCTTTCCCCACGAGGGGGTCATATTCGACAAGATCTTCTCCTTTTACTGTTTACATTGGTGCAAGGAGTACAAGTAAGGGGGATTTTAAATTTGCAAATTAAAAAAATTAGATTTGGGAACACACTCTTAAAAATAATGTTACCCTGTTGTAAATTAAAATTTGTTCGGATTCTATATGAATTGAACTATACTAAATCCAGGGTTACATACATACGTTAACCTGATAAAGAGCAAAGTTGACCCTGGATTTATGTGGTATTGTCACCGGTCGAGTGGTCTAACTGGGCTAATGTATGGTGAATAATAAGTAGATGGGAAGTCTCAGTTAGGAAAAGAGTAAGGTATTTATTAGAGTGTAATATTGGAGGCGAGATGATACAGAACTGTGTGTGACTTAACTATATAGACTCGACTGACAACTGATGATGTTGACCTGTGGTGTCAGTCTGAACTGACCTCCCAGACTGCACACGGAGATGCCAGTTGTCACTGGTTTTGTTAAGACGACTCGGGAGAAAGCTACGCTTTCTCCCGACTCTCACAATAAATGTATCTCTCAGATATGAGCCTTACAGTATGGTGTACTTAATTTAGAATTCAGGGTGTGTTAACAGCTCAATATGGTAACACTCAGGGTATTCCGACCCCGGGTTTTACCGTGTTACTTGTTTACTGGGGTTCACTGGGTAAAGTGCATTAGTTTAACAAATTAGAGTATACGTTAAGTTATATTAGGTCACCCCAAACATTGAGCAAAACCAAATAAAACCCAAACCCTGAAACCCCAGTAAAACGCCGGGGTAGTTAGTTTCAAGGTAAAACCCCGGGTTTTTCCGAACCCTGGTAACATTATTTTTATGAGGATTAACAATGAGAAATTTATAATTTGGTTAATGACCCACAGAAAAATTCTGGCCAAGTTTTACTCCATCCTCAAACCGGGCGGGTATATTTGCCTCCTTTACGTAATTGAATGTCCACATTTCTTACTTCTCCAGCAAATTGGCAAACTCCCAAAGTGGGCGGGATATATGAAGGTGAATAAAAAAAACGTTTCTTTTCTTACAATAAATTCACTTTCCTAATTTCAAACTCCAGGAAATACGAGATCATTTCCCAGACTGGATTGAACATTCGCAAGATGCACGGACAGAATTGGAAAAATCCTGTAAAGAAATCGGATACGAAAAATTGGAGAGTCTTGTTCACAAGAGCAACGTGAAACTAACCTTGGACGCTTTCACGGGTAAGAATTTGACTAAAATATGTCATCAATCTGCTCCATTTCAGGTACACGCATGGTATATGTATCTGCAGTCACGCTGGTATGTATTTCTCGGTACAACACCGAAGGTATCAAAGTTCCTGCCGCTTGGTATGAGAATTATAACTGACCGTAAAAATTTGCCGGCGATCCAGTAAAACTTTTATATTATTGAGCTATTACTTATAGCTCAATATACGATTTTAGTACACTCATACATACAAACATGAATTCTGTTTGGTATTATTTTACTACTGGATTTCTACTAGTGTACATGCCCGTACTAAGGAGGGGAGGTTGTGTACTATCAACTCCCGGATCTCGATGCCCTTTGGATATTTTGTAGTGTCCGATGAATGAACAAGAACCCTGAAGTGGTTTGATTCCATGGCCACATTTGCGCCCGCCACACCCACTCAAAGGTGCCCAAAAATCGCTTTCACTCCAGCTTTCACTCATTCAAATCCACGCCAAAAATCCAATTTTACTCGGATTTTCAAATTTCTTTCACCATTATACTCCTGGATAGTTGCTTTCTTATTTCCAACATCCAACTCAACTTTATTGATGATTATTGCATAGGCATAATTTGTTTTGTTGATTACCACAACAATGGTCATTCAGAATTTTAAATTTTAAAAATACTATGAATTTTAAAAAGTTGAGTTTGATGTTGGAAATAAGAAAGCAACTATCTGGGAGTATAATGGTGAAAGAAATTTGAAAATCCGAGTAAAATTGGATTTTTGGCGTGGATTTGAATGAGTGAAAGATCCAGGAGTTGATAGTACACAACCTCCCCTCCTAAGTTACAAACTTTGGCAATATCTAGCTTGTACCATAAATTGAGATTTTATTGCGTAACGTCATTTATTTATATTTTAATGATATCTGTAGACCTCGTCATGTCGCTGAACCCGTATTTGAGCGAGATTCCTTCAGCCTTGTATCCCGAACTGAAGGCAGATTACGCCAAGTTGATCCTTGACAAGGGAGACGTCGTGCAGGATGGATGTCAAGAATTACAGTTTAAGCACGACATGCTATTTGCAATATTTCGAAAACCAGGAAATGAAAATAATGGTTTTGTAAGAAATTAAACCAATTTTTATAGTTTTTGCATGTACATACCATTTTAAGCATGCATCATATCTAAAATGTTATATATTTTCAAGCATGAAAAATAAAAGGTATCTAAATTTTCAAAAATAATTAAACGAATAAAATGTTTTCAATATTAAAAACACAACTCGGTGAATAAACAGTTCCAATTAATGATGCCTGATAAATCGTACCATATTGAACGCATATTCAAGACCTACTCAAAAATTTTTGCAAATTTCCAATTGGGGCGAAGAATTTTTGAAGATTATTTTTTTTAATTACCAGAAATATTCACATTTAAAATATTTTTCGTTAATATTTCCTCATAGAATCACATTCTTTCTTTTACTTCGGTATGCATGTATGTAGAACAAACGCTCACATGCATCCAGGACCAATTATCTGACTTTATTAATAATTTTTACTACCCAGTCATTACGGAATCGTTAACGCCTGGCTGGCGTAACTGTGCAGGAGTACGCTCCCGTAGATGGCGTGCAGATACAAAGCAGGGTTGGCCTTGGAAAAAAGTACGGTCCCATCGGACAATGATCGGATGGTGCGGTTGTGGTTGACGATGGCGTAGTTGATGATGATGTGGTTGACGATGGCGTAGTTGACGACGGCGTAGTTGACGACGGCGTAGTTGACGATGTCATAGTTGACGATGGCGTGGTTGTCGAAGTTGCAGCAACTGCACAAACATAATTTTAATGGAACGAATTCTCTACAATCAAATCGCTTGGGTGTGAGGGAACATTCACAAATTGCGTATTACATATGCATGTTATACAAATACTGACAATAATCAAACTTCCGGGAAATTAAAAATCTTATCTTATATCTTTTTCTCACATGGATTTGGGCCGCAAATATAACCGCAAAAACTCCAGCAGTGACAACGTATCGCGCCGTCCGCTACGTTAGGAATGTTGTACCATGTTCTCCCCGGACAGCCCGGGTTCAGAACCCCTGAAAAATTTCGAAAAACAATATATGAATCATTAACCTTTTTGTGGAATACTTTATGAAAAAACTACATGTTTCTCCCGTCGCAAGTGGCACAATTTTGCTGGCACAATTCGTCTGGCCCCAGACGCCGTGGGTGACGAAGAGGAAAGCCAAACAAGTTAAAAAAGATTTCATACTTGAAATTTGAAACTAGACGATTTTACGTGTTTTTTCTTATCCGTCCTTCTTCCTACAACTTTGCTAGTGCGTGATGAGCTTTATATAGTTGTACAGTAGCAAGTGCAAAAGTTATGTAATAGATTTTTTATAAGATTATGTAGCTAAGAGAGTTTAAAAGAGAGAGAAAGAGTGAAATGCAGCTCGGAATTAATTTGACACAAGTCACGAGCCAAAGTTAGTCACGGTTAGCGGTTGTTTGACTGTCCACAGAATTATGTATGAACGATGTCAGGTTCTACATGCTTATAAAATTTGTAGCATGCCAATTTTAATTTTTTTTAAACCAATTATTTTTAAAAATTCATGTTTATATTTTGTTCTTTATGAATTTTAACCAAAGCCAATAAAAATTAACTTCAAACTATGTACATATGTATGTATACATACATGTAATGAGGGTATTCATGATTCCCTCGTAACCTTACTATTTTGCAATTTATGACTTTATACAGTTACTCAATAATTATTCGTATAGTAAAATAAGTTTACGACTGTTACGAGATTTTGTAAGCATACTTAATTCTGTGACGACTCATGTGGAGATAAACTATAAAAATTATTTAACTGGTAAACCCTGGCTCAGGTTATGCAACATTGTATTAATTATTGATCTAGAAATTTCCGCAAACTAGTATTCAAATTAAATTTGTCTAAGAGATGAAATTTTGATCCGTCTTGTTCACCTCAGTCAATGTTAATCTCATCCACAAGCAACTTTGTTGGTAAATATTGAACTTGGGCTTAATTAATGGCATATACTTATTTTATGCATACATGGAGTAGTTAAATAACTAAGAAGTTCTCCAATTTATTCCACATGACTCTGTCTTGCTTAAATTGTTCAGTAATAACGCACACTTCGTTTATTATAAAAAATTGAGTCAGACTTTGATCACGTACCCGGTTAACTAAATAATTTATTTATCCTCGGCATGGAATATTTGTACATATGAATGTGAACAAGTATGATATCCCTAGTAAAAATTTTAACAAATTTCCTGCATAAAATTGGCCCAATATTCTGCAGAAAATTGGCCCAATTTTCTGCAGAAAAGCTTTATGCATAGAGCTTTCTGAAGAAACCTATGCAGAATTATGCATAATTATGCACATATGGTTCTGCAGGATAATAGCGACACAAATTTTCTGCAGGATTATGTAAAAAAATTATGCATAATACAATATGCATAGGGTTTTTGTCGATTTCTGCAGAATTCGGCAGAGTGATTTCAACCAGGGATATTTGCCACCTTGAACTATCATGGTGGTTGAACTTCTCATTGACACTCTTTGACGGACATTGATTTCCAGAAATTTGTCTCAATATTCCTCCAGTTTAAAGAATAACTTTGGAATACATAGACAAGATACATATTTAGTTTAGTCTCCTTGTAATTCAATTATTCAATTTATGTATGTAAGTCGTATTTATAATAGTATTTAGCATGAGTTCAAAACTTATTTTCATTTTTGATCAAGCGTATGGAAATAAATCGACGTTAAGATGTAGGAATCATAAGCATTACTACTAATTTATTAAATAAATTGGTGTTGTATTTAGGCACAAGTACAATTATCTATGTGATAAAATGCATATTAAGAGTATGTGTGTCTAGAACATTCTATCTAATATATCTACATACAATGGTGTTATATCTATAGTGGTATATGTACCTCTACTAATAATAAATATATTAAGAAGGACCATGTTCATGTTTTAGTCTAGCAAGGAAAAGTACAAAGAAAAGTGAAGAATACAAGAATATTCCTAACATTACTGTAACGAAAGACATCATTGCATTTATCTAGCTTCAGCCAATCGATCCTATGCTACAAATATGTGGCATAAGCATCAGTGCTGTCTATGTACATATGTATAGTACATTATATAAATCCTTATTATGAAGTGTCTTAGACAGAGACTCCGACATAAATATGTTTTTAATCCAAACGTATGAAAAGGCGTAACCTTCGACATTAATATTTAATCCAGACGTAGGAAAAGTATGAGATGAAATCGTTCATATACGTATGTATGTATGTATCTAATTTCCTACGCGGTGGCCAACACGAACACGTTATCTTGTTTACCAATTTTTTTACTAGAAGAGTCATGAATTTATAACGAATTAAAAGTGCGAAAAGGCTTTCTGAAGCCGTAGACGAACAGGTGTACGGAAATTTGGGTATGGAAATTTGGGTCTCAGAAATATGGGTATGGAAATTTGGGTATAAGGAAATATGGGTATCGAAAGTTTCGGTCTGCAGAAATTTTGGTCTCGGAAATATGGGTAGCGGTATATTTGGGTATGCAGAATTTTAGATATGGGAAATTTGGGTATGACAAAAAATACTTTTCAACAATTGCTCTTCGGAAACTGTGGTGGCCCTTAGAAGGACCGTTGGTTGTGCGGTAGCTAATGCAGATACCAAGTCAAAACCATATTCACCTTGAATACATGCCTTTGCATATTTCAATTGTTTCAATTTGAAAGCCACGGTCATGATGTTAGACCTCCAAACTGTCCTGGGCGAAAAATTCCTGTGGGCCTAAAAAAAATCGTACACGGTCGTACGATAGCTCATTTTTTTCGTGACGCCTTGCCGCGTCCAATAAAAAATATTGGAAAGTCGAAAAAAATTATCCATGAAGTTTTATTTTTGGCCTTTCATTTTCAATCTTTTAAAAAATGCTGACCTTTGACCTGTCTGTGATGCTAAAAATCGACGACGCGGAAATTGTCCGTAGATATTTTTGACATTTGTTCCCGAAGTTCGGAAGTTTAGAAATTGTGGGATCATATCGAAATAAAAAATATGTCGTTGCATCTACAATTTTGTTACATACTGTAGCTCATGTAATTAATTTGTAAATAATCGACACTTTTAAGGGCCACCACATTTTTCGAAGAGCAATTGTTGAAAAGTATTTTTTGTCATACCCAAATTTCCCATACCTAAAATTCTGCATACCCAAATATACCGCTACCCATATTTCCGAGACCAAAATTTCTGCAGACCGAAACTTCCGATACCCATATTTCCTTATACCCAAATTTCCATACCCAAATTTCCGAGAACCAAATTTCCATACCCAAATTTCCGGGAATCAGACGAACACATAGTTGACATAATGAAGGTTCATACGCGTTGTCTGGTGTACCTATTTAGAGGAGTATTTAATTACCTGAAAGGCTTTCGTGTGTAAGTACATATTTACTACGATTTGTCTAAACTTAAGTGTTTTTCTTATACTGTTGTTTTTGTTTCTTAACTTTTAAGTCAACTTAATATACTTAAGTGTAAATACTTATTTTGTTTATGAAATGCCTAATGTGTTCGTCTATTTACTTGTTTTTGAAAAAATAGGTAAGATTAAACCCGGGAAAATGAGATTAGGTAAATCAGTGGGGAGAGATAATTCATTTATTATAGAGCTTAAGTAAGACAGAGAACGGTGAAGAGAAAAGTGAACGTACATGTATCAAGAATGCAAAAATATGTAATGTGCGTTTAATTTAACGAGGAGGCATATTGAGACTTAGATTTTGAATGTTGAACACGAATATGATTACCGTTTCGACCTATGACCACCAACCCAGTGACCGTGTGAGTCAGGTCAAGGCCAAAACACTCGCCCGGCGGGAGACGGGCTTATATGCTAGTTTAATAAAAATCCTATACATACTCTAAAAAACTTTGCTCTTGGTCCAACTAAGGTTAGTTCTTCAAATTTAAATCATCAAGCAAGATTTATTGACTTTTCCTCATATTTATCGTATCAGGGATACATAATAACGCGAATTTTTTTTTTCTAGCACCTAACAATAATAGGTTTTTCGTGCACTTTTAGTTTGGCGTAGTCCCCTGAATACTTGAAAATGTGGAGGGTGGTCACATTGCCGGCTTTGTTCTTGACCGATTTGTACGAGCCGTCCGGCTTGCTGACTGACACCGAGTAATGGGCCACTCCCTTCAAGTACGGCATCCAGAGGCTAGCTACTCCGAGTTTCTGGAAAAAGTACAATGCGTGGAATTAAATTTTTTAAATGCCAGTAAGTCACTTTAAGCGTAGTATTATTCAATGAAAAGGTAACATTCACGACATGATTTACTCGAGTTTATTCCAATGTGTCAATGACAAAATTTTATTATGTGGATCATTCTTGGCCCACCCCAAAGCAGAAAGGACCCCAACAATCCCAAATTGAGCATTATGTATGTCCGACATGGTAACCAAGTAACTCACCCAATAGTCCTTGATGGCCTCATTTTCGTAGATATCAAACTCAACGAACTGCAATAAACAAAAATATTATTTAACCTACATGAGACAGTAAATAAGTAAATGGGAATGAAGATTCTTTTATGATATTTTCTGAAATTCGAGGCCGACGTTTCTTATTGTCTTGGGCGAGGCATGTGGGCTAATTAACCACATTTTTTGTGACCTCATACAACCATGTGTAGACTATTTCTACATAAAAACTCTCAAGTTTCGAGCTCAAACTTTTGCAACAAATATCAAGATATGCACAAAAAGTGAGAAAAATAAGATTTTTGAGCATATTTCGATTTTTTCTGCAAGATTTTCTGCAAAATTTTAAAAGCTCTGTTGAACATGCTTAATCGAGCGGAGTATGCGCAAACGCGGCTCGTCTTTCGGCATATGTATGGCGTTCTGCATCTGTGCCACCTCTCGTTGACTATGACTAGGTTAAGGTGGGTACTATGAAAAACTACATAACCACATATGTATTCCCGCTCTCTTCCTGCACAACTTTTAACATTCTGATAAAGTACGATCGATGGGGACGAGTTGTTATTTGAGGCTGTTTTGTAATAGAAAAACCGAACCTCGTCCTCGTACTTGAAGGAGAAAACTTCCGGAAAAGCGGGGTTGTACGAGCCGTCGATTGGTTTCGTCCTTTGGATGCAAGACGTGTGAGATTTGTACGCCTCGATATGTAAATCTGTAGTGAATATTAATGTATTTCACTTAAATAATATGAAATACAAATGTCTGTGGTTGGTAATAATCTGGTAAAGTCACGCAGGTAATGATTTCTCGGTAACAAATTGGGTAATAATATTTTACCTAGTGGGTACTACAAATTCGTTACCATCATGGTTAAACTTATATATGTACCATTACCACACGGTACAACTTATCATTATCACTTTGGTAGAGTCATATGCTTGTGCGTTTCGATAATGTTTATTACCAGATTATTTATTATGTTTAAATACCCGGTTTGCCAAACATGTCCGTGTCTGGGGCGTCGCTGAATAGGAGAGAAAAAATAATATAATTTTTGAAATATTATGTTTTATTAATATTGTTATGTATCTTTTACTGAATTTCAACTCGGAAGTTCATCAAGTTGTCTTTGTTTCCATGAGACAATTCGGCCTGGATGACGAACCAGAGAAAGAAAGAAGTAGTGATGCGCGACATTACGGGAATAAAATTTTTTTCTAGGAGTGATTCAAGTGTAATGAGCCGTGAAGGAAGTTGATTTGGAAAAGAGAGGATGTCGTAAAAATACGGATGCATTGCTTACTAAAACAAAGGGTATGACGGAAAAGAGGTTTCGTAACGTATAATTACTCAGTTTACGACTTGCGAACTTTGGTCCGTCGTAATTTTTAAATAAATTCTTATAGGAATGATAAAGAATATAATGAGGGGATTCATTATGTCTTCGTATCCTTAATATTCGTCGTATCGTAAAATAACTTACGACAGTTATTAATACGAGATATTGTAATCGTCGGAAGATTTTGTTATCTTGTTTACCAATTTTTTACCAGAAAAGTCGCGAATTTAAAAAATAAAATAAATAAAATACCCCTAGGCTTTCTGAAGACGCGGACAAACACGTAGTTGACATAATGAAGTTTATCTGGTGTATGTATGTAGAGAAATAATTAACTGAAAGACTCTTGTGGATACGTATTTACCACGATTTGCTTAATCTTAAGTGTTTTTGTGCTTTTGTTATTTTTTCTTTCTTACATTTAAAGTTCGTTTAATATGCTTAAGTGTGAATAAATATTTTATTTATATAATGCGTGAATTTTTCTGGCATAATAGTTACGATTTGGAAATTCGATTTATATATGCTCGTCTAACAAGGGACACTCACGACCTGTCGTTTGAGTCCAGGGGAGGAATTCAATTGTAATTTGCGCACGGCGTAAGTCTAAATTTTGGTTCAAAATCAGTGCTTACGCTTTGCGCAAATTATAATTGAATTCCTCCCCAGGGTACTAACTATGTTTTTTAAATCTACTAGCACCCCAGATGAAGGATTCATTCATATTTCCGTGTAAAACTCATATTTGGCGTCGTGCCGTGGCGCCAAATTTGAATGTTTTTACTTTTTAAACCCCCATAACTTTTGAAATCCTTGACGGTTTTTCAAAATTTTTGGCAAAAATCATGACAACGAGTTCAGCTTTCTTATCATATGAAATTTTTTCCAAAATTATGGCTTTTAAAAAATTCGCAAAATTTCTTAATTGTCTTAGAAGTGGGGGTTCGTCGAAAAAATGATAAAAATGTTTCAAAAATTAGAAATCTTGTGTTTTTATTTTCTTCTCAAAAATTTCAACTTTTGTGATCATTTTAAGCGTAAAATTTTGAAAATCCGACATAAACTGCAAAAGTTATGGGGATTTAAAATTGGTCGAAAATGCAAATATTTAAGTTTGGCGCCACACCATGGCGCCAAATATGAGGTTAACACGGAAATATGAATGAATCCTTCATCTGAGGTACTAGTAGATTAAAAAAAACATAGTGGGTACCATGGACTCAAACGACAGGTCGTGAGTGTCCCTTGTAAGTATTAACTTGTTTTAACCTATGTATTTTTGCTGTTAGTCGTCTAAAAATTGGGTTAGATTAAAGCGGGGAATATGAGATTGATTCAGTGTGTATAATTAATCAATGCAGCTTAAATAAGTAAGTAAGATAGAGAAAGAAAAAGAGAAAGGTGAACGTATGTACACATGTCAAAAATGTAGAAATATTTAACCTACATACGTTTAATCAGGAGACGTATTGAGACTCGATTTCCTCCGTAATAAATAAATCGAAGTTACATATGTATGTATTAAAGTGTCAACTTTATACTACTATCAAGTATGTGTAAATATGCATAAACACCTATGTACATATTACATAGATATGTGTGCAAATGAGCTTATGTAGTGTTTAACTAATTTTTTTACTTACATCAATTGGTATTTGCCATATCGACACCATAGCATCTGGGAACCGTGAATGAGACTTGTACTCTATTTTATTTGAATGAGATGCTCATAAATTCATATTCTTCAATGTTAAGTACATAACATAATAATATGTCCCCATCCTTTGGAAGGGCTCGATCGATGATTTCCTTGACGTATGTACCCCACGATCTGTAGAAAATCTCATCTTCGCCTCGATTTGTGTATAAGTTTAAGTATGAACTTTGGAATATCATGAGGCGAGTGGAGTATTAAGTTGACCTAAAATTGACCTCTCCTCAGTCCAAATCTCTTCGCTGTCTTGTCTCATTCCTGCATTTATTTCATTTTATCCTTGTCATTGATTGAAGTTAATATGTGGGAGGATAAATTGAATAAACGCATGTAACGAAGTAGTTAAAACAAATATTCGACATAAGTTTCCTATGTATGTACATACATATAATCGCGCACACCAATATTTAACTGGCATGCTGCTTATCGAAATAGGCATACATATGTATGTTCATCTAAGGAAATGGTCAATATTTTGTGGCTGGAATGGTTAATGAAAATTAGCATTTTCATTGTTTAAATGATTCCTTTATCTTCGGTCTTAATTCCGGTGTTTAATTCAATTCAATCGGATTTTTTTTGGATATTTGGAGCCGTAATAGTTTCTAGTGATTTTCTTGAAATTTATTTCTACGAACTTACTGTATGTCTGCAAAAAGCATGGATTGGATAAAAATTTAAAACTTATACTCGAGAATATGTAAAGACAGACAAAACAGTCCCATAAAGCAACTTCAGATGTTGAGCATGTATACATATATTTATAAAGACATATTCCTTCTCAATTCTCTTATAAATTTAGTTACTTAAGTATTTGTTTGGTCAATCTTGTCGTAAATATTGATCACAATTATGGACCAGCTTTTTTTAGTCCAACTCTTTCACTCAGGGTGACATTATTAAATTTTTGCGTGTCTCGTCAGTTAAGTATTTTTTTATTTAAATAATTTTCCGTATCTAATTGAAATAGTTTTTGAAATTAAAGTTAAAACGGTGAAATATGGGAAACGTAATTTCTTGGGTGACTGATTCAGCCGCGATCCCTGCAAATTGGGCAGGGCTAATCATCGCAATTTCGGCTTTGTACATTATTTGGAAACTCGTTAAAAATCGGAGATATCTTTACTGCGTGTGGAAAACATTGCCGCGGGATTTTGGGTACTTGCTTAAAAATATTAACTAGTTTATTTTAACCCGGTGAAACAATTAACACAATGATGCAACAATTTTTGAGTTGAAGAGAGTAACATTTTCCACGTGTTGTGCAGAGGTTAGTTGCATAAAAACTACTTCACATGGAGGAATCTTTGCAACAAATTTGCAGCAAATTATACCCTGTAATTATTGGAAACCAATTAAAAATTAGTGGAAAAAGAGATTGTTTATATAGCCGTATTTTTACATATTTTGACGTTGTTTATATGTAGTTCTTTCAAAATTTCTTAAATTGTTTACACAATTCTCAACATAACAAGTACACTCTTAAAAATTTAGCACTAAAATAAACCCTTACAAACGAATATAAAAAAGTAGCGTCAGAACGATCGAAATATCCTTAAAAATGACAGCATCTGACAAGTATATATTTTTTACCCTTGACCTCGTCCTTAAGGTCATGAGGTCAAAAATATTAACATCCCTATAATCTCGGTCAAATTTCATTTAAAATGACACCCCATTTGAAAATTAAGGTTATATTTATTTTGGACCACATCCCCTGGCGTAGTTGGGTGTTGTCCGATTGACCCAAGTTCCTAACTCGACCTAGAACTAAAAATTAGAAGCACAATGGCGAAAACGGGGTTTGATTATGTTGACCCGTTGTGGAGATATCCTGCTTACGGACAGACAGACGGACGGACAAAACGATGGGTTTCATAAATGCATGTAAATATAATTTATTTTTATGCCTCTATCAAAGTGATACTGACAAGTAATACTAATCGGTAGTAAAGTATTACCATACCATTTGCTTACTTTTTTTTACGGACCGGCTTATTAAGGTTAGCTTCGAAGACGTAGTTGTCTCAAAAAATCATAGAGTAAATTAAACTGTGCGAAATTGACATCCCGCTTTGGACTTTGAGTTACATTACCCGAATTAGCCGAATCATTTTATTATTTAGCACTGGTTATTTTTAGTTTGGCGTCGAAATCATGCGAAATTGAATAATTTGAACGTCAAAATAAAAATAACCGATGCTAAATAATAAAATAATTCGGCTCATTCGGGTAATGTAATCCCGGATCCAGTACGATCCAGTACGTCCTTCAAGTTGGACAAACTCCACACGGCAGAAATCTTCACAGTTCTCCCATACTTTTACATACATAAATACACAGCCATGTTCATAGATTTCAAACTAATTTATCGAGACTTAGAAATCGAATTTCGAAATTCTGCCCAGTGAAGTTATAGACAATAAGCTGATTAATGAGATCCTCTTGAAATTTTTCCATTTCTACAAGCCAATTTTGCTGAGGTACAAATTTAATATAACATGTGGTCTTATGCTTTTTACATACTTTTTGTACCTCAGCTTTCAAAAACCACTGAAATATTGAATCTCTTCTTCGAGTAGGACAACAACAATATTATCTATAATATCAATGGGCAGAATTTTCAAATTCCTTCTGGTAGCTGAGAAATAAATAAAAATGTGCTGATCTTTGGGGTTGTGACGTCATTGTTATGACGTAGGCTGTGACTAATGGAGTCTCACGTTAAGTAGCGTCAGCTACTTATTGTGATCGTTTTGTCCGTCCGTCCGTAAACAGGATATCCCCAGAACGAGTCAACATAATCAAACCCTGTTTTCGCCATTGTGCTTCTAATTTTTAGTTTTCAGTCGAGTTCGAAAATGGGGTCAATCGGACCACACCCCACCGCACCAGGGGGTGTGGTCCAAATTAAATTTAACTTTAAGTTTCATACGGGGTCTCATTTTAAAGGAAATTTCACCACGAATTCAATGGCGTCAAAATGTTTGACCTTTTGACCGTGGCGACGATGTCAAAGGTCAAAAGATACATAATTGTCATATGGGGTGTCATTTTAAAGGAAATTTGACCGAAATTTTGAAGACGCTGATATTTTTGACCTCATGACCTTGAGGACAAGGTCACAAATAAATAATTGTCGGATACGGTGACACTTTAAAGGAAATTTCGATCGTTCTGACGCTACTTTTTTATATTCGTTTGCAAGGGTTTATTTTTAACTCCAAACTGTAGCAAACTTTAACACCGAGAAACCAAAACCAGCCTGAGTGAAAGATTTCTAATTATAATTTTCTATTTCTTGTAGCGCTTTGCCCCAGCTAATCAAAGTGAAGCGGGACCTGCGCCATTTTCAGGGGAAGAATTCCACCGTTTTTACCGCTTTCGACACCATCGTGAAACAAGATCCGAGCAAAACTGTGCTTTATTTTGAAGATTTCCAAATGACGGCGGAACAAGTACATACATAATTTAACTGAATTGTATAAAGCTTCCTTTTTGGGGGACAGGAACTTATTACGAAGGTTTTTTCCCTAATTTCAGGTGCAGCAGTTGAGCCACCGAGTCGCCAACTATTTCTTATCCCAAGGCTACAAGAAGGGCGACGTTGTTGGTATCTTCATGGAAAACTGTGCTGAATTCGTTCCCCTGTGGGTGGGCCTTAATCGGGTAAAAATATGTGTATTAATTATTATTGTGCTATATGCAAAATCGATTTGGCGAAAATTTGCTATCCTTCCTTAAAAAGAGAATTGTTCAAATTTACTTATTTATCGCAAGATGCTTTAGATACAATTTGTTACCAAACATGTGCGAATAATTTGCATGATGCTTCAATCGTGACCGCGGAAGAGTGGGAACCCCCACGGGTAATTAATGTGTAATATGTGCATGTAAATCTCTCCCTGTATGTTAATGCCCCCAGATGTCCCCACGATTTCCGAGAAAATGCGAAAATTTTCGCAATATAGATTCTCGTTATACAATTTGGTGACCAATTTACTTTCCAAGGAGTGGTAATTTTTATGTATGAAATTTTAACGAATTGTGCAGGTTGGAATTATCGCCGCCTTGATAAATTACAACCTTCGTCTCACCCCATTGAAGCATTGTATTGAAGCCGTCCACTGCAAAGCGGTCATTTTCAGTCCAAGTTTAAGTCATGGTATGTAAAAAATTTCGCAATTAAACAATTCTTCGTAACGTTTTGACTTGACCTGACATTTATGTACTTATTGGTAAAATCGCTCATTATTTGTTGAATGATGTTCGTCAGTATGCAAAGTTTACAGGTTTTGATCCGATTTTTGAAAACCTGTAATTTTTTAAAGCATTTTTTTTACTGATTTCAAAACAGCGTAAAATATTTTAATTAAATTCATTCGGGTGAATTAAATATTTATAAAAATTGTGTTAAAATTAAGTAAATACGTTATGCCGTTAAGAAAATGTACCATGTTTCCGCATTTCTAACAGCTTTAAAGGAGCTCATGGAAACGACCGGCGCTTTGGCGGGAGAACCGAAACTGTTCTGTTTTAATGAAACCTCCTCCCGCTCCTCGACTATCCAACCCGCCCTCCATTTTGCCGAACGGTTAGACCAACTCGTCTCAAGTTCCCCGTCATGCCCGCCCCTCGTCACGGAATCGATCGGTTTCGGGGACGTTGCCCTCTTTATCTTCACCTCAGGCACGACAGGACTTCCGAAGGTATTCTAAAGGTCAAGGGTTAAGGGTTTTATGCAAATTATTTATTAACCTGGTTATATTTACATATTTAAAGGCGGCATCGATCAAACACTCCCGCTGTTTTCTGTTCGCCACGGGATGCTTCCATGGGACCCGGTTGATGCGAAGTGACAGAATTTATACATCCCTCCCTCTGTATCATGGGTCCGGAACGTTGGCGGGAAGTGTGCTCATGCTAATTTACGGACCTGCGCAGGTCATCAGAGGGAAATTTTCGGCCTCAGGGTTTTGGAGAGATTGTGTCAAGTATAAAGCTACGGTGAGTGATAGATAAACCGGTTTTAAAGTTTTACCGTATCGGTAGCAAATTTTTATGGGCCGGTATAATTTTAATACGGAGACAATACCTTCGTGGCTTCATAAATATACCAGGTTTTCAACCATACCTTAAATCGTTCTTGAATGAAGCAAATTTATTATTTCAAAAAGTGGTTATCGTTCAGGTCAAAACTTTTATTATGACTTTTATGAAATTTTTTGTCCCAAAATTTTGAAAAATTGTGCTCACTGTGTAAAAATAATTGAAATTCGTGATGATCTATGTACCTTGTAACCCTGTTTCTTGTTCATGAAATCTAAATTAATCTCACATTTCTTAGGCGGCGCAGTACATCGGTGAAACGTGCCGCTACATGCTCGCCCAGCCAGCCACACCCCTCGATAAGTACCACACGGTTCGCGTCATGTATGGAAACGGGTTACGGGGAGAAATTTGGGGCGATTTTGTGGAACGATTCGGCGTCAAAATTCAGGAATTTTATGGCTCCACGGAAGGAAATTGCGGAATGGGTATGTTCATGGCTTTTGAAGCTTTAAGATAACATAAATCAAAAAATTGACAGTCGTTGGTAACCTTGTAAAATTTCGGAAGCATTTTAAACTTTTACAAAATTTTACAAATACATGAATTTGTAAGTTTGGTAAGTAAATTGTTTTACAAAATGCGAAGATTTTGCAAAGTTACCGATGACTGAATGAATTGGGTCATTGTATTTACGTTAGTTTGCAAAGTACCCGATTTGTGAATTTATTTAGCATGTATATGCAAATTTTGTAACCTTGAAAAAGGATTTCAATATGCATTAGCGTGCTCATCTAATTTTTTATATTTCAGCAAACATGGACCACACCATCGGAGCGGTCGGTTTCACTCCGATCTACCTGCCGAACTTGCTACCCATCCGTTTAATCCAGGTCAACGAGGAGACCGGTGAACCTATCAGAAACCCGAAAACCGGATTTATTCTTACGTGTGACACAAACCAGGTGGGCGAAGTGGTCGGAAGAATCATTAAGAAAGATCCACTCGCGGATTTCGAGGGGTGAGTAACAATCAAAAAATATGTAGTACACTCTAAATAAAATTGTGCAAAATTTAGTCAAAGTTAAATATAAAATTTTACACCATTGCTTTGTCATTTTTTATTCTGCACAAATTTAGTTTGACTAGTTCATGTATGCAAATCTATGCAAATGCAGGTATGCCGACAAGAGTTCGACACAAGGAAAAATTTTACTCAACGCATTTCGAAATGGCGACGCCTGGTTTCGCTCAGGCGATATGATGGTCAGAAATGAAATGGGATATTTCTACTTTCGTGACAGAAAAGGGGACACGTTCAGATGGAAAGGTAAAATGAAATTTCCCGCCAAATTTGAAAATCCAAACTTGTCCCGGTAAATCGGGCGCCAATTTTAAATAAAAATTGCATACGATTCAGGTGAGAACTGTTCTACCACCGAGGTTGAAAGCATCATCAGTACTGTTACCGGATTAAAGGGGGCTGTCGTCTTTGGCGTTGAAATTCCCGGGGCGGATGGTCGTGCCGGAATGGCGGCCATATCCGATCCTGACAATTCTCTGAATTTGGAAAAATTAGCGGACGGGGTAATAAAATCTTTGCCAAGTTACGCGAGACCTCTTTTTGTACGAATTATCAGAACCGAGTTGGACATGACAGGTGGAGACATGCATAATTTTATTTATTTATCAAATTTTGAAATTTAATTAAATAATTTTAAGTACTAATTAATTAATGATTTTTTATTAAGGAACGTACAAGCTAAAGAAGAATGAGTATCAAAAATCAGGTTTTGACATCCACCTTTTTCAAGATCCGGTATATTTTTTTAATGGAAAGTGTTACACCATTTTGGACGAGGACTTGTACGAAAACATAATTTCTCAAAAAGTCAGAGTGTAAGGAAGAAGTTTATTTTGCTTGAGAGGTATCCTATGTATGTACATACAAAAATACAAAAGTTGTGTAAAAATTGCGAAAAATTGTAGATGCGAATTGTGTATGTAGCTAATTTTTCAAATTGTGAGCATCTGTAGATTCTAAAAATCTTTGCAGTACATATCTTGTTAGATAAATATTCCCTTTTACATTCATACATAATTCCAAATATTTATTTTCTAAGTGCGGCATGTATAAAGTATCATCCTATGTATGCACATTTGTGGGCAGTAAATGTATTCATAAATACATATGTATACATATATGGGTCATTTAATCAAAGATTTTGTTTGTAATGCACAATTTTTATTGCCAGTAGTTAAACTCATAATTAATTAATAAATACTTATATATTTAGTAAAAAAAATGTTTTTTTGGACGAAACAAAATAAAAATCATCTTTAACAACTTAATAAATTAATAATCAAATTAATTATTATTGTTTGCTTCACTGTCAAAAATTAACGGGTGGTATTTAATGGCTGCCTTATTTGACTGAAACCAGGCCTTATTAAATATGCCTTACGATTGACTGAATGTTTGCCTTAAACGTTGAAAAAAAATAGAAATCGACTGAAAAAAGTGCCTTAATTTCCCGATATTAAAATTTGTTTATTTACATGATCTTTGAACCCAGATCACACATGTAATTAAAAAATATATAATTATTCAACGATAAGAGCTTGTTTACATTGTTTGGGGCGACCTGGGCGTCGTTTTATACCAATTGGAACATTTTTGCAGGCGTCAGAAATATTAAAATCTTTGCGGTTGGCAGCGAGCCCAATTAAGTGTTTACAAATATGCTGTTTTTTAAACATGGGACAATTACAACGGGATTGCATCCAATTTATAATATCATACTCTATCACCCAAAGCTTTTCTTTCGTCTTCCGGTATGTTTCGAACTTTCTCCACGACTTTTTCTCTGTAAGCTGAATGTAGTTGGCTATGTCCTTTTCATCTAGTGACCTTGTTCCTTTGGCTGGTACGAAAAACTTGATTATGGTATCGTTAATCTTTTTTTGTCTCGTTGATGGACGAGAGGTATCTTTAAACCAATTGTAGGCATCGGTCATGGCCGCAATTGTTATAACTGGTTCGAGTCTAAATCGTTTGTAATCCGGTAGCTGAGGGTCTCTCTCACTGGACCAACCAGATAGAAGCTTGGAGATACAGTTGACGAATTCTCCAAGAGGTAGCCTCTTCCGAAGTGTTCCCTGACGTTTGATGAGTCCATTTATTGACTCGAGTCCATTATTAGTGGAAGGGAACCCTGGGGCAGTTCCTTCATACCAGCCGCACCTTTGGTCAATATATTCTCCAATAAAGTAGCCAACGAAGTTTTTGACGGCATCAACTCCGGACCATTTCTGCCTAAACAAATGTACAGCCGCATCGAAATCAAGTTTATCTTCTGCTAACTGAAGTAAATCTATGTCAGACTTTAATTCACGCCTGGTTTCCGGACATTCTATTTGTTTTAATCGATCCTTGATCTTTGCACTCACGTGGTACCAACAATACACTCGAACGAAGTTGCTCCCAAAAACTGATTCGAAGCCGTTTGTGATTGCTTCTGCTGAATCAGCAATTAATACTTTTGGCTCATATTTAGTGCCACATGAACTCGCTAAAATCCTAAAAATGTTGCCATAATCTTGCTCTGTTTCGCCGGTTGATACAGCAATGCTAATTGGGTGGAAATTTCTATTTTTGTCCAACGTCCCAAGAACAAGGACTGGAAAATTTTCCAATACCAATTTGTAGGTCCCATCAGCATGTAAGCAATCTCCAAATGTGAGAACTTGCATCAATCTTGGCGTAGATAGCATGAAGTGGAATGTTTTCTTTTCAAAGTCAATGATCTTTCCTACCAAAATTGTTTGATCTTGGCTAGTAGGTTCTGTTAGGAGTGCAGATAGTTGTTTTTCAAGGTCCCCTAATGATACAATTCGTGGGGCCTCAATTGATTTTAGGTAGGCTTTGGCATTTGAAATTTGCTTTCGATTTGGTATTGGAAGACCGGAATCACGAATACTTGCTTGGATTTGAGAGGGACCTGAGATGCCATTTTTAAGCAATTCGACCATTAATTGTCGCGTTGGACCTTGAACTCCGCTTGTTTTATTTTTCTGTAGGTGGTCATGAGCAGTGTTGGTCTGATAACGAATTACGTCTTGTCCGTCTTCTATACATATATCATACAATATTGAGAGTAAAAGTAGAATATATAATTTACGATTACATTAGGTCATTGACTGCCAATGATTTACATACCAGCGAGAAGCAGATATAGCTTAGCAGAACACTTGCTGGATACTTTGCACTTATAAAAATGCTTCATGCCACATTCGGTTTGATTGGCAGATTTGAAACGAAACTCTCCTTCGGCCTTCAGAATTTCCTCCGCAATTGTTAAGTTTTCATAAATTGCACCCTTAAAGTAGTCTAAGAAGTTTCTTTTGAATTTGGCCTTCTTTCTTGGTGGTAAATTGTCTTCGTCTGATGACTCCGTATCAGAAATATTGAGAATTGTGGTTTCAAACTCGGTCATTGTAAAGTTTGTTTAGAAAACTACAGATAAATGTACTTTCTACTACAGAGTGGAGAGCTGGAGTGAACAAAAGTTGATCATTATGAGGGGCGTATTTGAGGATATTAATTAGGAAAATAAGGCCGTTTTCAGATATGTAAGGCTACACAATTTAATGTTTAAGGCAAACATTCAGTCCATCGTAAGGCATATTTAATAAGGCACTGTTTCAGTCATATAAGGCAGACATTAATATTTACCCAAAATTAACAACTTCAATCAGTGAAATTAATTAACCAATCAATTATTCAATATTTTTTTTAAGTTTCTATTACAACAGTATAGATTTTAAGTTACTATTTAAAAAAATTTAGAAAAAAATGCATATATATATATTCTTTAAAATGCATGGAAATACGTATTGTCTATGTAAATACATACATACATAGCCAATATCGAATTAATTTCTATTAAATTAAACTCGAATTATATAAACAATAACTTATTTAAATCTATGCAGCTGAACAATATAAATTTTTTAGTTAATTATAATTCTTAAACAAGGGAACTCGAGACAAAACATGGGTCTTACGCTGGATATTTGTGAAGTGAGAATAAAAATATTGAAATGATGTGTGTTGAATAAACATATGTCAATTTGTTTAATGAAACAAATTATAAATGCTGTAGACATTAAGCTGGAGGTAACAGTTTTCCCTACTTCAATATAATCTAATCTAATCCAATGTCCTTTCGGTTGAGACCGAAATTCGGTGTGGGAGAGAATTGAAAAGAAACTTGGGTAAGAAGTAAGTGTAGAAAATAAGTCCAGGAATGACAACAAAAATCTATTGATTTTGGGCTAAGGTTGCATATTCTACAGACCAACCTATGTATCTGTAATGAAGCTTTAGGGGTTGGGTTGTAGGAACTGTGTGACAGAAGTTGCGAATTTTGCAAAATATGCAGGAAATTCATTTGTAGAACTTTCATTAATTGGACACTTCAGGATTTACATTACAATTTGTTCTCACTACATGGAAAGCAATATATACCACTACCTGTTCAGAAGAACGTAGACGATGAGTGCAAATACTACTCTTACTGCAAGAACCTCGAGCAGAAAGAGTTTATTAACCGAATTTATGAACCAAGTTTGCCGATGATCCTGTGTGACAATTGCTCGGAATGGTATCACCCAGCCTGCGTGGATATCCAGGTGTCAAGATTCAAAGCAAAACGAGCACGGAAGTGCCCCAAGTGTAGCTCGAGGGGCCACGGACTTAGGTCTACTAAGTGGAATGAGGTGAATCATTTTTTATCCCAAAGATTTTTATAACTGTAGCGGTGGAGAATAGTGGTACTAATACCAATTTAAATATCATAAATTGGTAACAATCATTTTGTATGCACAGACAATGAAAAGGAACATTTAATTTAACATGTTACAGGTACAGGCTTCATTTAATGACTACCTGAATCCAAGCAAGTCATTAAACATAACCTGCGAATCATCGGTGTTTTCAGGTAGGCCATGTATATATTGCAAGAATATCACATATTTTTACAACCACGTGTTACTCAGAAAATGAAAGAACTCGGTGGACATCAACTCCTAAAAAAAAGAATATAACTTTCTCTCTCCTCTAATTTCTAGTATTCATCGGGGAAATACTTGTGAAGATGACGAGGATGAACGGTTTAAGTCCAAAATATGCAATTTAAAATTGAAATATGTAAATATTAAATATGTGATTTTATGTGTATATAGTTTTCCTAGGTTTCGTGCACTCGAACTCATTTAACCTTTACACATTTTATTTATGCCGCTCTCATAAAAAATTCTAATCCCCCCATCCTAATCAAACCTTTCAAGCACTGTTTGCCAGCATTGCCGTACTTTATGGCGCATGACCTTCATGATTTGATTTTTGGAATACCTAAAAAAGACTCACGACAATTGTGTTAGTTTGCCTTCGACAATACGTTGTTTCAGTTTGTGGAAATTTGTTCCATGATTTTGCTGTAATTTTAGTGTATTTTAATCGTCCGAAAAACACCCAGTAAAACTCAAAATCTATAATTGTATTTCCCCCCAAAAAAGAACCTCAGCTTGCAAAACTCAACGCCATCGATCTAAAAAAGGCAAGGTCCACGTGCAACATAACTTCTGCAATTTTGAGATAGATCTCAATTTTTCCGGTGAATATCAATCCGCGAGGAACAATACGCCGAAAGTCGCCAAGAAATAATCTCACTGTGCACCAGGACACGTTGTGGTTCAGGTACATCTAAAGTTAATCTTAAAAAAAGTCTTCAACAATACCACAGCTCTGACTTATATATGATTGACATGATGAAATATATTTTTTGAATTTGTTTGCAGATTCTGATGACGAAAGATAAAATTTCATTCTGTCTGTATTAAATAGGACTTAGGATTTTTAGTTTTAACTTTAAAACTATATAAAATTGTTGACAAACAATTAACAAACAACTAACCTGACAATTATCAGTATGGCTCGGCGTACTGCTCTTCATAAAAATCTTAGTTAAAAAGTACATTAACATGAATGTATCTCCTTGTATAATTTATTCATTACTCTTTTAGGCCACTGGCCCATACATCACAGAAATACAATTTTACATCATTTTACAATATAACGGGTTATTAAACATCGAAAATTCCAGGTCTCTTATTAGACGGAAAAGCAACCATAAATTGATAAGAGATCACCATAGTTACGGCGAATCCCAACATTGAAAAACTCCTGAGATTTCACACAAACCGTTCTTTGCATGGAAAACCCAAGTGGACTGTTTTCAAATGTTAACTCTAAATGCATGTGTTGAATGCAGGGAGCGTACCAGCAAGTATTCCGGAGTTCCAGCATGACTTTCCAGGAACAAGTAATGTCGCATTACCTTAAATCGACTGTTGGAAAAGTTTTCTGAGGAAACCATGATCTTCAAAATGATACAACGGAAAGGCTAACAAGTATAAATTAGCTAAAGTGGGACTTCAAAAACTGGTTGGTTCTTCAAACTCGTATATTTACTAACTTCGAACTAATCGGTCGCGCGCTTTTGGTTTATCATGAAGGAGAGACAAGCGACAAATACAACAGTTCCTTATGTTAATTCTAGCTAAAAGGTAAGAAACTTCAAATTCTTACTGATTAATTGATGAAATGTTGCGACTCTACTGATAATATCCATTCTTTTTTTGCCTTTGATTTAAACATCTTTCTTAAATATATTGTTGTAGGCGGAAAACAAGTAATGACACAACGTATGAACAATATTTGTTTTCCTTACAACACTCTGACGACTTAAAGCCTGCAGAGCACATTTCCAAATAATTTAAAAAAAAAGGTCGTCTTTATTGATTCCCAATTTTAGCCATTACATTTGAATTACAAGTGAACCAAACCTCACATAAGTGAGAAAGAGATGGTCACAGGTTCCTAACTATGGTGCCCGTAGTGCAATGGACACCGCACAGACCTGTGCAACAAGTCAGAGAGGAAAACCACAAGGGAAAAAACTCTCAGCCAGTACTGGGAATTGAACCCAGAACCTCCATTCGGCTTGAAGCACAGTGTGATGACCACTCGGCCACCACTGCCTGCCATTTAATGCCCCGCTGCTACTCTACGCTGAGAACTGTTTAAGTTACCACAGAGTTATATCTGTGAGCATTTAATTTATTTATTTTGTTAACAATGCCACCTGCTGGGGTTTACCACACTTATCAGTCTTAACTTTCTTTTAGGTGTTTGGCACTCACTGGAAGGAAGATGCAGATGTCGGCGGAAGCATCGTTATGGTTACAAAGCACGATTCTTCATTTAGAAAGGCCAGAAGTCAATTGCAGCAAGGAAATCTAAACCTGAATCTGGATGCGTATAAATTTCTAATTCATCAAACCAATCCGCACTTTTCCTCAGATGCTGTAGAGAAAACATTCGAATCCTATGGAGGTCTGTTTACCCCTGAGACAACACTGGCTGAATAGATGAGATCCTTATCAACCGCGGCAGCCATTGTCAGCAGTAAGTTAACTAGCCTTGAATGTGGAAATACGGAAAGCTTTAATTTGACATAATGATAATGGAAAACAGATATCGATACACCAATATCCGAAATTTTTCGACAATATAAACCCGACAATGCGAAGATACAATCTAATCGCAAGTTAAATTAAAATCTGGTTAAGATATTTAAGATATTCGAATACAATTTCAAAGTGCATTACTTCCCTACAATCCTTAATATCTTCAATTTACCTAAACCAAATGAATGAGTACCTAAATGACTCACAACTAACTTGTCAGTTAGGTATGTCTACAGCTTTTTCTCATTTTCGCAAAACTATTTAGTAATGTTTTACATGTGTCGTACAGGCGTCAATTTAGAAATGGTAAAGAGCTAGATTGATATGCAGTACGTGTTTTGATGTCACAACCCTGAGGATACCTGGCAAACTTTTGTTAGGAGGGGACGTTCTGATGGATCATTCCGTGCACTTTGTATTATTGTTATTAGTATATTTCATATAGTGGGTGCATACATACACTGATACACACACGTAATAAAGAGTGCTTACGCAATATACAGTTGTTATACATACATATATTCAGCAGCAAGGGGGTCGGGGTTAAGGCCCCTATAAAATGCCAAATGAGTCAACGAAAGAGAGATCAGTTTCAGCTCAGGTTTCTTACCAAGTTGTGATAAACTGACCTCTGGACAACCTGGTTCGTCTTGAACTGACACAGCAAGGAGAAGCTACCTTCGCAACTCAAGCAACCAATTTCGACAATTCGAGGAAATCCAGGTGGAACCGAGGGGAACATTCAATTACAGAAACAATTACTCTCACAGGAATTATTATGTAGTTTTAAGTTTCCAGTTTTTTGCTCAAAATAAAATAAAACTGTTTTCATTTATCACATAATCAGAGATTAAAACAAAAACCACGTGAGTATAACATGAGGTTTCATACCACGCGCCGCAAACACACCGCGACGAAGGGCGTTTAGAAAATTTAGGATTAATTTACATTCGCAGATCGAGTAATATAAAATGAAACTGTTTGTCCCATTTGTATTGCTTTTAGCTTTACATTTTTGTAAAGTTTGCCGACCAAGATCTTTCAACTTCCGACATTAAGCGTATCCGGTTATCTGGTACCAAGCCTAAGACAATGTTGGAGTTGTTCCAAAGGATCCAATCTCCACCAAAGGAAACGTTAATACCATCTAAAGAGGCAATAGGAGAATTTTGAAAAACCCTTCAAATTCCACTTATTAAAAATTCATAACTGTGCTCAAACAATTGTGCACAAGTGAACAGCATGTCGGAATGGTCATGATAAGTTGAGGCTGTGAACATAAAAATAAAACGACACAAAAAATTCCAGTGGTAGTCGAAAAACTAGCTTTTCGATATAAAAGTGTAATCTTTGAGCTGTTTCCCATCTATACAATACAATCATCCTTCCACAATCTTTTATTTGTTTCAGCCATGCAAGAATTTAAAATTACGATCTTCAGCACTTTCATGATAAACCAGATCAAAACCCCTTTGGATAATTATGAGTCTAACCATATGTGCATACCTGTTCACATTCACTTATACGAAAATGAATGAATGAATTAGTGAATAATTCATTGAATGAATGAATAATTCAACATTTCCAAATTTAATGAGTGTGTTTTTTATTCATTCATTTTTTGACCCATGTTAAATACATGGGGCGAACAAATGAATGAATGAATTATTCATTGAATCAATGAACAATGAATCAATAATTCAAATTGAATTTCGAAATGAAGAAATTTTGAACGAAGGAAAGAAATAAGCAGGTATGTGTGCATGCCTACCAAAGGCAAATTCGCTATTAATTTCAGTCTGAATTTGTCAGATTTAACGAAATGAAAAACCTCTTAACTGTTTCTCTTAAAACCTCGGTTTAGTTTACCCATCCTCCACGTGACATAGTGTGACCATATTTAAACCTCTACATAGATAAATAAAGAGGAATTTGTACGCTTAAAACCGGAGATTTGAATGGGACTAAAACTTGTCTTATAATTAATTTATGTGAATAAATTCGTACCGAAAACGCGACCACCCGGACCGTCTGGAGAATGATCCACTGGGGTGGATGTAGTTCATCCATCGGCGTATGGGTATTATCCAGCAGTTGATTGAGGAAGACGGCGTTGATCTAACAAAAAAATAAAATATGTAGGACTGTAAATCGAAATTTTTAGTTTAACAAATTAAATTTAAATGGAGCTACACATTCATTGCGACTTCGCATCGTTAGCAATGTTCGAAAAAAATACAAAGTTCCCAAGTAGACAATAAATTTTGGCTAGTGAATTTATTAAAAACTTGGACATCTTAATTGTTAGTGTATCTATACCTACGCTCCATTAGCACAAAGTTGAACCTTATCAGAAATTGAGAATTCTGAGAACCTACGCCACTGTCAGTCTAAAAGGCCTCCGTTATCAAAATTTAAGGGAAATTGAGACTGACAGTGCCGTAGTTTGTCAGAATTCTCAATGTCTGATAAAGTTCGACTGTTTTCTAATGGATAGTAGTTCGCAATTTTTTACAAAATTAAATATGTCGCGATGGGAACATGTAATTGATGTAATACCCTCAATATACTTATGTAGGTAAGTTAAATAAATGCGGCCAACCATACGTATATTACGTCATTAAGAATTCTCGGTTTTAGCACCCACCAACCAAAGGTAAACACTAAAAAGGTAAACAGTAAAAAATTTTGAAAAAATTTCATGCTCTTATCAAACTCATTCCGACGCGATATATTCATCAGTTTAAATTATTTAAATTTCTAAATTTAACTGTAATTAATTAAACCAGATTTTACATACCAGCAAGTTGTCAGAATCCTTCTGAAAGCAAAGTTTAAGACCAAGGTTTCATAATTTTGAAGTGGTATTTCCCCCGCTTGTCAATCCGTAGAGATAAAAAAATAGGTTTTTACACACAATTTTTAATCCAGAGTTATTTGCAATAACTGCACATTATCAATCGCAATAATCAATATACATATGTATGTACATATACATAAATAATAAACCGTAGTAACGTTAGAAGTAGCTCACCCTGTAATAATGATGTGGTTATAACTTGCCCCAAAGGTGCAGAAAAATGCAACAAAATAGATACATAGTTTTTTGGCAATTATGCACCAATGGTGCAGAAAAATCCAACAAAGTAGATCAATAATGTTTATGCAATATTACACCAATGGTGCAGAAAAATTAAACAACATAGATCAAGGAAAGTCCAAAAATTGTGCATCACTGGTGCAGAATTACCTACCAACGAAAAATTTATGTCAGAATTGTCAAATAAAATCCGCCGAGTAGTATGCACTATTGGTGCGTTATGCATCAAAGCCCCCAGTTCTTTCGCATCATTTGGTGTTTCCGATTGTCAGATACCAACGGTGCTATTAATTTATGAAAAAATGGACCTGATCCATTCTAGTGAGTATCAATTGATGCCCATCCAATTGTTTCGCATCAGCTTGGATAACCAACTGTTCAATACGAACGGTGCTACTTATTCCAAAATTGTAGTGCTTTCTCGATCCATTTGCACAATTAATTCGCACCATTTGCGGCAGGATTGTTCGATACCAATGGTGCGCCTAATTTATTCCATAATGGTCAAGGGGATTATTAATTAGCATCAATTGATGCAAAAAACTCGTGAACACACAGACAGACGGACGGACGGACAAGAGGAATTCAATAGCTCTCATGCTACGCAGGGTGAGCTAATAATACGGGACAAGATAATATAATTTGCATTATTCACATTAGCATGAAAATTGAGAGATTAAAATTACGCAAAAACTTATCTAAAATCACATCACAAGTACAATCTCCAATTGAATAGTAACTTATAATTTCTATTAAGTTATATATGGAATGCAATGAAATTACTAAAGATCATTGGACCTTAACTTAGGAAACTTTTCTTAATCAAGAAACAAAAATATAATATTGAATACATTTTTTAATAGTTACTCACCTTGAAATATTTCTGCCAATTTAAATATGAATTATTTTTCACATTGGATCAAGAAACTAAGGAACTATGGCCATGCTCATTTGGTGTCGAGTGAGATGAATCTAAGCTAAAGAGGTTGGGTGGACCAGATTTTTGTACAAATATGCACCTTTGCAGCTAAAAATAAATACCTGGTCATTAACCCGTTTGGGTCCCAACTTCATAAAATGAAGCAAGTTCATTGCCCGAGACGCATCCCTTCATTCGAGGTAGGGATAAATTTGGATTGTGTAGCGGTGAAAAAAAGAGTATGGTTAGAAGGGTCAGAATGAAATGTGACCTTTTTATTGTTCTCGTAATGCTTAAGGCATGCACAGTTGTATGTACATGGTTAAAATTAGGTGCTGAGTGCATTATTATTTCTTAATGTGAGGAGGTGGAGTATTTATGCATTTAATGATTTCACTGCTACATATGTACATACAGGGTGGTTTAAATCTCACACTACAAAGGAAAATGTTTCGATGGGAAAAAATCGTAAATTTTCATTAATTACCGAAATTTTGTCTCTGAAATTCAACATTTATAAAAATTTTGTCACCATTGTTTCCATTAGTTTTGATAATAATTAGTAAAAACCTCAAATCTAGTAACTAATGGAGATTCGGGGCTTTTCCCATTGGAAAATTTTTCCATTGTAGCCAGGGTTTTGTTTGGTAAAAACCAAATTGACCAGGGCAGCGGGAAAACGTGGGAAAAAGGCATTTTTACCACCCACCCAAAATAGGTGGGAAATGGGAAAAATGGAAGAAATGGGAAAAATGAGAAATACATATAAGTTGTAGCATGAAACTGAATACTGCCCTACAGCCCGCACCATTTATGATCAAAACCAGTCATCTTCACTACACTACCAATATCAATTTAATGTTTATGTGACATTAAATAGTTTATAGTCAATTGCGAAACTTTTTTACTCGTCGTTATCGTCACCACACCCACCGTATAACTAGGTCAAGTAGTTTTTTGCCTTGACGAGGGCCTTAGAAGTAATTTTAATTTAATAAAACAATTAACATGCAAAAAAGGTCCGTCGATAAACCTCAACTTGTTAAAAAAAAAATAAGAAGTGCAAGCCGCTCCCCACTTTTATTCTGCTCCTGCGTCAGCCTTGTCTGTTCCAGCGTCAGAATGTGTTGCCTCGAACGGAGGACTGTAAATAGGTCGAAATTATCGGGTTTATATACACATGCAGTCATGGATCAGTTTGTTGATTATGAGTGAAGACTGCTATTCTCGGTACACAATTAAAAATATTAATTTTATGGTAAAATCGATCAAGTTCATTGTATTATTAACAAGTCTATTCTTAACTTTCTGAGCGCAGAACTAAGAACAATGGAGGACATTTCTCAACGAAGTTCTCAGTCTAGAAACAAATGCTACATTCGTCATGAGACTATGTCAAGAATGCCAACGCCTTAAGAATGAGATGACAAACTTAGCTGATGCATTTAATTTGGAGGATTTTTTTGATATTAAATAAAGAATTTGTTACTGACAGCTAAATTTGTTGAAAAACATTTATTTATAACATTTCCCCAATCGACCATCCTGACTCAGGATTCCTGAGATCCTGACACAAATTTGACTGACTCAGGAACATTTTAAATGACACAGGAACAGTCACTCAATTATATTTTTGATTAAAAAATATAGAAGTCGCTGGCATAGTTAGTTTCAACACAATTAGACGATCTCGTTGCTTGGTCATTATATTTTTCAATGTAGAAAAACTGGCTTCTAGTGGGAGTTTTTTGTCAAGTTCAGTCCATTGATCGCCGTCGATGGTGTCTTTTCTTTGGGTCTGAAATCAGTAGACAACCAGAAATATAATTATAATCATTCTGTTCCAGTGTCACAAAATGTGTTCCTGTGTCAGACTCACCGTATCTAATGGAACAAGGCTGTAAAATTTCGAAGATTTTATCTGGTTAAACAAATCAGCGTAGTCAGGTATCAATGGAATACTTTTTGTTAAGGGTACTATTGATTTCTTGAATTGCCTGTTTCACGATTTTATAGCCTATAAATCCATACTTCCCAAAGGCTGACACAGGACACCTGGGAATAAAACATGAAGAGTTAATATTTTGTACCAATTTGGTTCTCGCTTTCTTCTTATCGACCTTAATTTAACGGCAAGTATAAGGCGACTTGTGATTCTCATCAGAATGATTATCAGCTGGCCTTTCCGCTAATTAGACGAGTATTAAGTATTAAACACAAACTGCTCCAGCGTCATTTTTAATACAAATGTTCCTGTGTCAGTTCTACCAATATTTGTTGATTTGAACCTTGGCCAATTCGCTCAAAGTTATCTCCCAAACCGAATTCGCCCTAATTTCGTTATCTTCTCGAATATCTCTATCTGCAAACACGGACATAATTACCATTTTAAAGAAGCCGACTTTACGAAATATTATATACAACTTGCCCATGCGGATCCATCTGGATAATCGTAGCACGAAGTGAGGATTTTTGGTATTATCCATTGCCTAAAATTTTCAGCACTGCCTACATGCACTACTCTCATTAGAATGTCACTAATTATTTATATTGCCAACAGTTCAATTGGGTTTATTTATTTTGTGCCACTCAAGGAAAGTTTATAAAAACAATGATTGTAGTTTTTGGATAACAATTTACCCAAACTAAATTTAACTGACACAGGAGCAGATGATAACTGACACAGGAACAGTTCAAACAAATACAGACTTATGCAATTTGAGATAAACTAATTATTTAAACAAGTTAAGGACTTATCAACTGAATATCTATTTCTCACTTCGATAATTAACTAACAACATATATAATTACGTTGGAATGGCTGTTTAACAAATGAGGAAAAGCAAACAAAACTTAATCTCACCCTTCCCACATTTTGAGTGAGCCGCTCTTTATTTTATAACAGCCAATCTCATCATTTTTCCCATTCTGGACGGTAAATACCGTTTTTCCCGGTATTTACCACTTTTTCCCACCTGCCGTGGTAAAAAATCGTTCTTGACGGGAAAAACGAAACCCTGATTGTAGCGTGACATTTAAACCACATTGATTTTACTGGGTTTGAACATGGTACCATGTACATACGACTCATGGTTTAATGAGTTATACATTTATAAAATGTAGGGTCACGTTAAAACAACCATAAAAAATATCAAAATTGCAGCTCTTCTTACATATATCGGAGGAGAAAATGAAAATTTAGTATTTCAAAACTAACGCAACCCAAGCTTATGTATACCAATAAGATGTGTCACTCTTAAAATTAAGTAGGCAGAACGCAAATCTTATCAGCATTTAATGCACAATTTTTATTGTCTGGAATTAAATTCATACATACCTACATAATCCTTAGATATTTTATTAACAAATAATTTATTTTAGTAGTAATACACATTATGATAACTTCATCCTTATATAATTAATAATTATATAGCATATTTAAAGTTTGATGTATTGCATAAATTATAAATGTTCTGTTAGCTTCATAAATTATCAAATTAATATTTACCACAATTAAAACTAATTAACAATATTAAATAAAAGGTTACAAAAAGCCAAACTCAGAGTTTTAGAATAAGGAAGAGATTGGTAATTGTCCCTTAAAATTTGCGAATCCTTATTTTTGACCTGCTATTCAATATACATAAACTTTCGTGTCATTACGTCAAATATTTTATACTTAATGCGCCATTTTTGTTGCCGGTAATTGTGTACATTCATACCTATGTACATAATTATTACATATTTTAACAATAGAATGATAGTTTGAATAGAAGAAGGAAATATGTACGCATTATCTTAACTTCATAAATTAAATAGGTACTTTGTATATTTACCACAATTAAAACTAATCCCACAGATAAATTGAAAAGTTACCAGAGGTCCAACTAATCACAATTGTTTAATGAAAACATGATGAGAATCCGTGCTTCAGACGTTTGGCATACATAGACTGGAACCTCTTCTCAAGACAAACAAGGTTAACGTACCTATGTAATTATGTACATACACATATTTATGTACATGATTTGCAGAAACTTGAAACATGTGAACAATTTGAAACGGATATGGGTGTCAATATGTACATGTAAAGATACCCATCGTGAAATTATTTGTGCTAGTCACCTCATTTGCATATTTTGACGCATTCTTAATAGACACAGATATCGCAGAAAATGAGCATATCTACATAATGCTATTTATGCAATAAAAATTCTGTCAAAAAAATTTTGTACCCAGATCCAGTCGGATATGTAGGAGGTGTCTTGCCTAAAAGCTGTGCACATACTAACACCTTCCATTGCAACCTAAAAACTCCCAAAAATGACTTACAATAAGATTCGCCAGAAAAAACTCGCTACGATGTGCATCGACACAAAACCTGATAGTACCTAAAATAGCAAAATGATGCATTGTATTTCTAATATTTTCCGAGGATTTTTGCGATATTCACCATTATCGATGCCCATACATATAAATTCGCTGCAGGATTTGGCATTAAGGATTTTTTAAAGGATTTTATACTAAAGTAGCGGTGTCGTGGAGGATTCAAAGGCGCTAACCATTACCCCATACTGATCGAAACCTTTTATGGTTATTAAGCTACTTTTGGACGATTTCAAATAATCGTTCCTTTTAGAAATTAATTTTTTGAAATACATTTTTAAAAAAATAAGTACATTCTTTTTGGATTAAAGTGATCAAGAATATTCAAATTTTTGCCACAAATGTTGTCTCACTTTTATTAATAGTGCATCTGAAATATAAGTTTGTGCAAATTTATACAGCACCAAGATACCTTATTGCTCTGCAGAACTATAGAAATAGGAAATTTCCCACCAAATGATGCGATTAATTGAATAATTATAAATCCTTTGTGTTTGCATCATACCACGTGACCACTTTTACAATTATGTTTAATAAACTCATCAAAACTTATGCTAATTAATCTAAGGAGTAGGGTATTCCAGATGTGTAGCATTTGGCATTAATAAAGTAGTAACCCACACAGGTCTTTTATGTATAAAAACGTGGTAAAGGGTTGTGTTGCACATGGTGAAAGTCAAAGGTATTATCGGAATAAACGTTAAAGGAAAAACGACTTTGCGACCTGGACATGCAAGAAATCGCACAACATGCAGAAAGTTTAACCCCACTAAACTACTTGTAATGTTGAAGGAAATGTTCCCAAAAAAGTCTTGTCTTAACTTAAAGGTTACAGGACAATAAAAACAATTTTCATTACCTCACCTTAGTCTTTAATTTTGCAATATTTTTCAGGAAATATATTTTTTTGCCAGTAAGGTCACAAAATTAATGTTACCCTGTGGTCCCAAATCTTTCCACTCTTAAAGCTTCTCTCACAGTAGTTTAGAAGGTTTTTTAAAGGTAAATAAGTAATGTTGATTATGTTGGTTTCGTAGGTAATGGCTAAAATTATCAACATGGTTGACAACAGCACCTACATCTCAAGGTTTATGTAGATTGATGTCTAAGTGGATGAAGAAAGTTGTGGACAATCAGGTACGATATCGTGTCGTTCACAAGAGAAATGTCGCATAGCTCCTATCCATTCAGAGACTGAGGATTGCAAATGTCACTTTCTCCTATTGAGCAGTTTCGAACTGTTTCCCTAAAATCGTATATTTTGTTATGTGCAGTGAATATGTATCGTACAATGTACATATTCACGTCTTTATTTAAATATCTATTTTAATATCAGTACACTAAAATTATGATCAATTTGTACCTAGTTCTTTCCCACTTCTGTAATTTAACAGACTGTTAATAAATGCATTACTGCAAGTAACACTGTTGCAAAACTATTATGAAAAAAAGGAACAGATATTAGCAATAATGAACATATTTATCTATGAAGGTGTCCAGTGATTCACAATTAACCCTTTCAGCTCATACAAAGTGCTGCTTAATTAACCTGTAGGCAACAGCCTACGAGGTTGTGCACTCTAAATAAAACTATGCAAAATTTGCTAATCGTTGAGCTCAAGAGAGGATTGAAGGAAAATTTTGCAAGATTTATCCGGCGACTGTGTAAATTATACACGATAATTGTGTCATCCTCTTTTCTACATACTCAACCTTGAATAAATTGTGCATAAATTTACGATTTCGAAATCTATTTCAAATGAACGACAGGTATGTACATATTTTTATTCTGATGTGAAGATCTATAAGGACGTACATATAAGTTGTATTTTACTAAGCATTTGGCCGTTTTAAAATATTTATTTACATTATAGAATTTTAAAAACTTCCCAGATCGAAGTAACCTGAAGACTCTCGGTCATGGGATTACATGAGCGCCCGAAATATTTTCCAGGCTTGCCATTCTATGGAACAATGGAACTACTGACCTACGGACCTGCAGTCAAGATAAACGGAGTTTTCGTGGTTCTTGCGTATAATTGTTGAAGTTGTGGATGAACTTTTGCGTAAATTGTGTACAAGTTAATTTTTGAAATACATTTACAAAAATAACTAAAATCAGCATGTTAGGGTGTGCAGATCCTGTTTATTTATACATAGGCAATGGACCCGTTAATATTGTAGGAATGCTTGTTTTTGTGAGTTTTACTTCAATATTGGAAGCAAACTCATCCAACTACAAACAGGCTTCGTCTATTTCGTTCCTTAATTCTCTTTCTGCAACTTCTTATCTTTCAAATTTTTTGCTCTAGTGGGATCAGAGATGTGATGTTAAAACAAGCAGATATTTTATGGGAATATATATGAAGTCAAATTTGGATTTTATGCATTACCTGAACTCTAATCTTCCTGGCCTGAATAACCTTTTTATGTGAACAATGTGCTGTTTTAAATTGTCAAACTCTGACTTGCAAGACCACGTGGTGCAATTTAAACACATACCAGGTGCTGCTTAATGCTAACCTGCAGCATAAAGCGTACGAAGTCAATGTGTGCACTCTAAATAAAAATATGCAAAATTTACTCATTGGGCTCAAGAGAGGATTAAAGGTAAATTGTGCAAGATTTATTCGACGATTATGTAAATTATACAAGATAGTTGTGTCATCCTCTTTTCTACTCAACCATGAGTAAATTTTGCCTAAAGTGTGTGTATTTAAATAAACAGATTCACAATTTTGAATTTCAACTGATTCGGGTACACAAACTCGCTTTTTAACTCGATAAAGTTAATATATATGCACCTATTCATTAGCTATTATGAATATGCATGTATATGCATACATTAAATGGGAAATTTGAAACCCATGTTCGTCCAAATTGCCATATTTTACAATTTATAACATGATTCAATATATGTAAATATGTGCATATGAGGGTCTGGCAAGATTACAGAACGTCACGTTAACCTTATTTTTTGGGCGAAATACGCGTCGCCTACTATTTTAAGTGCTTTCATCGTGTTTGTCACCCTTTTCTGATAAGGAAAAAAGTAAGCATTTTCGATGTCGAAAAGCCGATAGAAAATTTTCTTTGAACCACTTTTCATCTGAAAGTTTGCAAAACTCCTAAAAAAATTTGATGTTAATTTGAAAAAAGTGTCGACCTGAAGTTTTCTTCAGGTAATGAAACACCGAATGCGGAATAACCGAATGCCCATGTGTTCTATTAACACTTGAATAAAGGTTTAAATCTAAATCTAAACATTTTTAGATCTTAAAAGTTATCCTGCGATCTCACATAAATAGAGAGAAAAAGTGAGACCAGAACTGAAACTCATCCCTTATTGGATTCCGCCTTAATAATTAAGATGAACTAACTTAGCATAAAATACTTAAACACTTGGCAGATGGCAAAGAAAGATAATGGGAAATTTCTATCGTGAAACTAATTAACATAGTAAAACGCGTCGCAAAATGGCTTAACTCTTGCCTCCGAATGATGATTGATTGGCTGCAATTAAGTTTTGTTTCCAAAGTACTATAAGGTGTCATCTTCCGCGGGGCGAGGGGAGACCATATAGGAAATTCTAAAAAATAGGAATTTTTACGTAATTATAAAATCGGAAACTTTATTCGAGATTTTTTAAATACGTTTTATAATTAATTTATTAATAATTCTTACCTAAAAGTCTACCATCCTGGAAATCTGGGGAATGGTTTAGAGGGCGGGACATGTAGACACGAAACGGCGTATGGAGATGATCCCTCATTTCATTTCGTAAGGCTACCTTGATCTGAAATAAAATAAAATTATGTAATTGTATATGTATATTTCCAGAAAAATGTCAAGGCTAAAAATTAAGATAAGTCACTTGAAAAAAATAGTTTTAATGAACGAGCAGTAATACGTTGTAATTATGTAGTTTAAAACGTTTAAAACAGTAATACTCAAAATTTTGAAATTTCTTTGTAACGCAATAAATTAAATTTTCCATACAAAATCAATTCGTGGCATGTATGAATATTTTATAACAACCAATCAAAATATAAAAATAATTGGTTCCACACAAATAACTTTGTAGAATTAAAATTGTAAAGGAAGTGTTAAATAAGTACATTAAAAATTACCCCAAATTTTCAAGCATTTTACAAAAATAAATTTTAAAATTTGTGATAAGTCTGAATGCTCACATTATCACACTTATTTTTTGGCGAAACTTTAATCACTTAGAGTTATTTAACTTTTACTGGCATTAATTCATCGTGACGTTGCGCACCTGCAAGACGTGAGCTTCCTTCTGGCAGCAAAGTTCAAGTCCAGGCTTGCATCAATTTTGAGGTGGTATTTATGCACCCCGAACATCAACCCTACGAGGACAAACATTATTTTTTATGCAAATTTAATACTGATAACTTTACATACGTAATCAAACTCAAGTGTATACATACAAACGTGAAAATACGGTTCAAAATAACACAAATTACTCAGATGTAATTAAAACAAGAATTAATCTAATTGTAAAATCATTTTATGTACATTTACGTAAATTGAAATTAATTAATTAAAAAGTATCTACTAAAGATTATGACCTAGTAAAGTCAAAATTTTAAAATATTTCGAAATAGTTATACTCACCATGAAAAATTTACGGCCAAGTTCTCAATTATTTTACACACTTTAAAAAGAAAGTAAGGAACTAGCACAAGTCACAATGCTCACTTGGTGGCGAGTGAGACGTATCTGATCTAAAAAGCTTGGGTAGATCAGATTTTTGTTAAGTTGACGTTTGCATCAATCATCGCGTCTTAACCAGAACTGGACAAACAACACTATTTCACTTCAATCTTAAAGTAACTAACTAACCATTTATCAGTTTCGTTCCAGCTTTCACAAAACGAGGCAATTCCATTAACGCGTCATGTTTGTCCCTGAAATCCAGGAAGGGACGAATTTAGATTGATCCTGGAAGAGACGTGATACTGGAATAAACAGAACCTTTGCACGGGTGGAAATATTTTCTATCAGAGTGTAATTATGAACATCCATGCATTCCGTCATAAAAAAACGCCGATTTTTACTTTTACCATTTTAGGTTCAGCACGTGAAAGACATCCGAGCCAAAACCACCCAACTGACCATTTCGACGACGTAATTTATGTACGTGGCCATCCGACCTTGCTAATTTTATTTGGGTACTTAAGGCACGCAGTTGTGCAGTGTTGTGTGGTTAAGATTATGAGAAAAAGATTATTAGGAAATGCTGCCTAAATAAATATGTATTTACAGTCATCGACCAAAAGTACCCATGCTTGTATATACATACATATGCAACAATACTTTCAATACAAGACAAGACAAGTTCATTACTTTAGTTACTTATTAACGCTTGATGCTTGTCCTTTAACGCCAAGAAGGGACGGATTTCGATTGCGATAGTGGAATAAAGAGGACCTTTGCATGTTTCCTATCAGAATGAAATACACAGCGTGCATATATAACGTCATAAAGAAATGCCGATTTCTGTACAGCACCAACAAATCTCTTCCTTAGTTTACTTATGTTTCATAAATTAAACACGATCAAGGTTCACTCAAAACAAAAATTTGTCAAATCAACCCCGCCGGTGTCAATATATGACTTAACCCCCTTGGTTACAATTGTGATTCCGAGTGGTAATGAAATTTTCCCGTCCGGTCATAACATTATAACTACCGGTATCAAAATCATCATAACTCGGATTCAACATTGTAACCAAGGCGGTTAAGTCATATATTTATTGACACCGGCGGTGTTGATTTGACAAATTTTTGTTTTGAGTGTACGTGAACAAAAGCTGCCAACCATCTTTTTGATGACGCAATACCCATATGTGCACGTTCCCACACGACCTTTCTAATCTTCTCTGGGTATTTATGGCACGCAGTTGTGAAGTGCTGTGTGGTGAAGATTATGAACAATGATTATTATTTAGGAAATGTTGAGTAAATAAATATTTACATGCATACATACTTATAGATTTTAACCTTGGAGCGGAAGTCCAGATGGAAGGATATTTTTAATCCTGCGTACATAGATTTTATTGAGTTTGGTCATTCTTTAAGATGTAATCAACGAAGGGTCAAAGTCCAACTTTTCTTCAATCTTATGGATATCATTATCAGAGAGACTGAAGATTTAATCGCACAAACCCCACAGGCTAGATTACTCAGCGCAAAACTCGTCCAAATTAATATCTACATTTCAAATCATTTTACTGCTCTGGTAACTTACATACATATTTCCAAGAAGATGTAGTCAGTAATTTTGATTAATGGAATGGCTGAGTTTTTTTAAACTAGGTTCGATGAGTTTAAATTTTTCTGAAGGCTTCTTATGAAAACTACTTCAAAAATTATAAAAATTTGCATATTTACTGCATATTTTTAACCATTGGCAAGAACCTACTATGCAAACATATTTGTTCAGAATTTGAAAACACTTACATAAATAACTAAATAGGGTCGAGAAATGCTTAAAAATCTCTGACGATGAATCTTCGGGCCCTGCCTTAAGTAAAATGTCCCATTCTTTGAATATGTGAAGTAAGAACAAATTGAGTCAAATTTCAAAGAGGGTGGGGCCTAAAATTTATATATGCGAATTATGTACGTTTGGACACATACATATGCACATACATACATACACACATAAATATGTAAATATGTACTATGTATTTAGAGAGGCAGCACCATATTCAAGCAAGTATGACGATATGAAAATACCTACATTCAAACACATGCAAATACATCGATAAATATTTGAAGGGTTAAATTTAACGCCACACTTATTTAGCTGAAATTTGCCACTTGACAGTACATATGGGACCTCCAAACGGCTGAACTTTACCCTATTTATGCTTTCAGAACCATTATTAGATTAAGTTTCGATTAGCCGGATACATTCATTGATGAAAAGACCCCAAAATAGTTGTAAGTAAACTATGAAACTAGTAATTACTTGTTCGAATTGCGAAAATAGATTCATATATATACATATATAATTTGTGTAATACATCAATTTTATTATTAAGATAGATATTTCATTTTGACTTTGAAATTTACAGATATTTCTTTGTGAGTGTGTTACAAAGCATTTACATATGTGTATAAATACATATCTATGAACATAATGACGTCAAGTAATGCATATTATTGCTAATTAAACTAACTTTTATTTACCCCATGATTAAATATTAATAGCAAATAATTTATTTTGAGAAGGAATAATACTATCTTAACTTCAGAGATTATCAAATTAATTAATTACTTATTTAAAACTAATCGTGTCAAATAAATTCGAAGATTACGTAAAGTCCAATATTTTGTAATTGTATACCTACATGGTAAATACAAGTATGTACAAGTAAATACAAATACAAGTACATGTTTTATTATTAATTTTCAAAAGGTATGTTCCGCACTGTTTCTGACCAAAATTGTGATGAAATAACAAACTGCAAATACATTTAGGAGGCTGTGATTTTTTTCAACTCTGTGGGTTAACATAAACACTAGCAATAAATCGGCAAACTTTACCTCGACGGAAAAAATGCTAGATTTGCAAATTAAATATCGTAGTGTGATTTAATTTTTAATGCTGGATGGGCAATACGTGTCGCAGATTTATGGTTGAATGCTTAAAATGTACAATGAAAACTGCCCAACACAAAACACAAATTCAATTGGGTCAATAATTTTTAATTATGGCGAAACGAGGTCTCGGGCAAAAAGTCGCAAGGACGCTCAAAATCCGCTTCTTCCACAGAAAGGCTCCGGAAACTAGAGGAACCAATAATGAGAGATCCGCGATTGAAACTGTCCTATATAGCAGATGAGATGGGTGTTCCAAAACCAGCAATTTGTTCCATGTTAACTGAAGACTTAGGTATGAAAATGGTTTCCGTCCGTTGGGTACCAAAATTGCTTTCGGCATCTCACAAACAGGATCGAGTCGACTTTTGCAATGCCAATTTTAACCTATTAAATGAAGACTTGAACCTGCTCAATATTTTATTAGTTGCATATGGTACTTGGGTTTACTATTATGACCCGGTGACCAAATAATAATTCCCTCAATGGAAGCACGAGGGGTTGCCACCGCCCGTTAATTGAAAAGTGCAAAAATCTGACAAAAAAATGATGATGACCACTTTCAAGGATACCAAAGGTCCCCTCCTTATAAAATTTATTGCTGTAAATACTGCAATAAATGGGGCCGTGTATGCAGGAACCCCGAAGGAGCTGCGTCCTCCGGTTGAAAAGAAACGTTAGGTCAAAATAAAGAGTTGGCCTTTTTTTAGACGACAACGCGCCACCTCATACCTGGCTTTTTGCAAGGGTTAGTGCAGACGAAAATCGCTTTACCTGCACAAACCACACCCCGTGCAGTCCGGACTTGACCCTTAGTGATTATTATTCGTTTCGAAACTTAAAGAAAAACGTCAGGGGAAAACGGTTTTCGGATGATAATGAAATCAAGTCGTAAATTTTGGCATATTTTCGAGGTAAATTTTAATGAGTTATTGCTAGTGTTAATGTTAACCTACAGAACTGAAAAAAATCACAGCATCCTAAAAGTATTTGAAGTTTGTTATTTCATCAAAAGTTTGGTCAGAAACAGTGCGGAACATACCTTTTGAAAATTAATAATAAAACACCCACGTAAACCGATAGAACGCATGCTGCCAAGGAATACTAGCAGCCGGTCTTCGGAAACATTTATAAAATATAAAACGCAAAATTAAACATAAGTAAAATTTATTTTGAAAATAAAATTTCTCACAATTGCTGCTTGCATTTTACATATCTGATAAGCACCAAAGTTAGCAAAATTTAGTCATTTTTAAACATTGCAAACGGCAAAATGACGCCGCCTTGCGCACACTTAATATAACGCAGCGCATAGCTAGTCTCACAATCGAAAATCGTCCGCGTTAATAAGGCGCTGTTCGTAAACTTCGTAACGCTGGCCAGTAGGTGCAGGACAGGGGAAAATCCTTATCTTCCTTTTGTTATTAGCGTAATGAAGTGTACGAATAGCGCCTAAACACGTAAAAATACACGTAGGATAAGTGGGCATGAGCGGTGTGCCCAAAATTTAAGGACCTTATACAGAAGAATCTGAGTTTAGCTGAAGAAATCCGACTTTTTTACTAAGCTCCTGTCTATTAACATGTTACCCATTTTAATTAATATATTTAGGTATGTATATTATGAATGTTTATTCCTGCTTCAATATTATAGCCATTGTTTCATGTGTAACAGGGATCTGCGAAAAGAAGGGCAAATCGGGATCAGAAGACCATCTTCCTTGACCTCTTCGACACCTTATGAAGATGTCGAAATTAATGGAACAAATCCTGCAGCAAAATTTTTTCTTAGATAAACTATTCCTATTAGAATTATGTACTTGTAACGTAAAGTTTTCAGTATCAAAAATATGTGACTGGCCCTTCCCATTCTTTTGTAAATCGTGACAATAATTAGGCACGCTAACATAAATAGTAAACGTGCGAGCGCAACGCTGGCGCCTTACAAAATTTCCACTTGATTGCAGTTAACCCAACTAATTTTGCATCAATTAAATACCAGAAATTTGGATAGATGATGATTCCTGTATAACTAGGCCCCATTCAACTATCCGTTCTGCTTGGAGTTTTATTTTCCACGGGAAAATAAACTAGATTTTTTGCTCTAATTTTTGCGAAACCAATGAAGGCTTCAATTTGTACCCCCTCTTTCCGTTTGGGCAATCCGCTGGCCCAATGTGCGTTTTTAGCACACTGATTATAACACTGTGCGTACCATCTCTGTTCCATAGTGATGTATATAATTGGGTGTTTGCTGAAAATTTAATGAGCTTTAATGACAAGTTAAGAATAGCGGAACGTATATGAGTTTGCTCTGCATATTGACATGAGCATATTTAT